CAGAATGATTGACAATTAGGTCAGTTATTCTCCAATGCTTCTCCAGGTCTCAATTGGATCTACTTCTCCAGTGTGGTGGTTACTGCTCCAACTCCTGCAATGACCACTTGCACTACCTTCTCTTCACCTTCCAGGCTCTAGTTCTTCTCTGAGCCCTTGTTATTTCTCTAGGTTTTCATGTTTTTGTGTTTTTTTTCACCATAATGAAGGATGGCCACACAATCACTACGACTGTGTTCAGCCACTCTGTCTGTTTGTACTGAAATCCCATAGGATGTTAGCTAGTTCATTTTCCACCACTCTGGGAGGTGGCTCCTGTATTGACCTCAGGGGCTCCAGTTTCTATTCTGCACAGATATTTCTGCACATTATACCAGCCAGTTGTTGGTCCAATGAAGATCATTTGCACAACAAAATTCATATCTCTGTTTTACTGGGATATCTTGTGGGTTCACTATTGCTGTGGGCAAAACATAAAAACATAACAAAAAAATACTTTTAGACATCTCTAGTCTGTTTTTACACACTTTTCACAAGGTAATTTCCCTCTTTTACAGCCTCCATAACAATTACATCTATTAGGCCAATTAAACAACCTCATCTAGTTACTTTTGGAATTGCCAATGGTTACTTTCAATTTGGTAACAGTTAAAAAACTGTAAAATAGCAAAAATTCTCTTGAAACTATTACAGTTTAAGATTTCTTTAGGAGATATAGCAAATTCCTGTAAGTCAGGACCGTTTTTATAAAGTTAAAGTTTTAGGAGATAAAAAGTCATGACAAAAAGAGTAAGCTGTTTTCAAGGAGATGACAGAAAAAGTGGACAAACGCCAAGGAGCCTCTAGAATAAATTGATCCACTTCAGAAAATACAATGAATGGGAGTTTAAAACATCTCTGTGTTTCAAAGTTTTCTTCTATTCCACTATTTCAAACCTAGTTTACATGTGCAAAGATACAAAAATTAAAGGTAAATACTTTATCTTGACATGTCAGCGATTGCCATGATCCTGCTCTTTATGGACTTTTTGAGTTTTCATATGCATTTTTATTTGTGTCATTATAGTTTTTTTATTGACTCACTTGTGCCGATTTCCTTTCCCTTGGCTCCCTTCTAGTTTCTTCTATCCACACCTGCTCCATATCAGCTCATTAGCCCATTTGTTGTTCTGTTCCCCATATATACACCACCTCTGCAGTTCCTCATTGCTGCTTTCTTATTGCTTTGTGTCTTCATTGCTTGCTCCGCGTGTGCTTTTTTCCCCTGGCATCTTCTGTTTTTTTGGTTTCTTAATTTGTTCCTGGATTTTTGCCTCTGTTGCCTGTGGAACCTCAATTAAATCAGTTAAACTTATCTTTGCATCCTCATCTTTGCATTTGGCTCCTCTAAAACCGCTGCTCAATCTAATGATGTGCAAAAATTTCAAAATTCAAACCTATGTTACTTTTCGAATAAAAAAAGTAAAATTTAAGAATTAATCACATATATATTTCTGTTAAAAATGGTTTCAGTTTGTCTGATGAGTTCCTGCATCAAAATCCACAAGTAAAATGATTTCACGTGTGGATTTTATTCTGATCCCTAATCTTAAACAAATCCTTTGACCTGTCTTTCTAGGAGCCTTGGATGCCTTTTAAAAAAACAACAAATAAGCCATTTTTGTTGTTTCTACATTCTGAAGAAAAACAATTAGAAAAGTATTCATTTTGACCCCAATTTAATCCTTACCTGTTTGTGAGGGAAATTGATAGGTAATGGGAAGACACACCATGAACAGCTCAATAGTCTATCAAGGAGAAAAACAGTAAAAAGATACTCAACCTAAGTGCAGTTAAGAATGGCCGCTAATCTAATTCGAAGCCCCTGCAGGGAGCACATGTTGGGATTTGAACCGAGGACATTCTTGCTGCAGGACATCAGCATTAACATCCTATCGGACTGCGCAGTCCATCAAAGAGACATGGAAAATGTAAGAACTCCCTGCAGTTATCTAATTTGTTACTGCTACTGTTTATTTATTGCATTTTTTTTTTTAATTTTCTATCTATAAGTAGACTTCATTATTAGAAAGTTATTCTGACAGGAATATTGGCACATCACCTCCAACCTCCATTTTTTTCACATTAAGATAAAGATCAATTCATTTGTAAATATCCACCAAGTGAAAACATGACAGCATATTAAACATCAATATTACAGCATTAGCCTAAATTGTTGCAGAAATAGTTTAGAGATTGGGAATGAAGGTAGGAACCCATTCAGATTTTGGTCCCTTTAAGACTAACCTTTAGCTTCAGCTTCCAAATCTAATAGTTAATAGTTATCAACTGCAGATAAATAATGATTCTTTCATTTGAAAAAAAAAAAAATGTTTAGCTATTATACCTTTAAACCTCTATATCAGGATTTTTTTTGGAAAATATTAAGATTTGAGGTCAGAGGAAATACTTACGTCCCTAATATTCCATTTTTTCCAGAGAAATAAAGTGGAAAATACACTAAACAAAGTAGAAAGCTCGCAATAACTCACTGGGTGTATTGAATATGTATAATAATATTTCGTGACATATGCAACATCAGTGCATACCGACAGAAAACAATTCTTCAATAAGGTAACTCCCTTGCTCATACATCAACAAATATTTTTCTGCGGCAAGCACACAAAGGTGGACTTAAGTATTCACAGAACATAAGCAAATATAAACTTTTCCCTGCTATAATGTGACACACGGTCCCAGAATCTATTTGATAACCTCCAACTACTCAGTGTTCCAGGCTTGGTCTTTGAGAAGTGATTGAAATTCTCTCCACCTACACCCACTCATGCACTTATCATCAGCCTCTAAGCTCAAAACAAACCTTACAGAACACAATAAACCTCAAAAGAATTGTGATGCAAGCAGACATATGGAAATCCAGGATAGGTAAAGATCCTAACGTTTTCAGAGGTTTCTCAGCAATGTGACTTTCTCTGTGTTGCTGTAACAAAGTGAACAAAGTCAACCCTTAAATACTGCAGCCTTAAAAAAAGTAATAATTTGTGCTTCTCTTTTATTAAATTAAACTTAGGGACAGACATTGCAGTGATTTGATACCTTCATGACAAATACATGAGCATACTTTGAAAAGAAAACAGATTTGATCTTATGTGTCATTTCAGCAAGTCATGCGGGGATGGAACACTTAATTGTGGCACAAATCCTTTTGCGGTGTTCATTCCTGATGGCCTTGCGGTTTGGATGTCCCACCACAGTACAGCAGCTTAATGCTTCTCTCCCTAAAGAGTTTGCTGACATTTTTCAAGGTCTTGCTTTCAAACCCTGTCTTTATTAGTTCCTCTTAAAGCCCGGGAAGCTGACTTAAGGAGGAACTAATCCTATTCCCTGGAATCTCTTCTTTTTGTAAGAAAGTCAGCAATCTAGTCAGCAGGAATCTACAGTCACTTCAACTGAAATAAGGGATTCCAGAGCTGAAAGGCTTATATCTAACAACAAACAAGATGCTGATAACAGACTGCTGCATCTACAAGGTCCATGTTTATAAAAGTCCCTTCAAATAAAAGAACTGCAATGGCTTGAAAACTGTCTATTGATAAACATTTCAATACATTCGACTCAGCCATATGTGAAGTGAATTAGTGGAAAACACAGGTACAGCTGGTATAAAAGGTCTACACACCTTTGCTGAAATGCCAAGTTTTGGTTATGTAATGGATTGTTTAGTGTAATTCTTCATATTTATTGTGACTTTTAACCTGTACAATGCAATCTAAGAAAGCTGCATATCTTTTCAGAGAGTAAAGTAATTATAGTGGTGGCATAACCTTTTAAGGATATTATGAAAAACATCCCAAACTGTCAGATTATGAGGGTATCTATCTACAGCCCTCTTAAAGGAATAGTACACCCAAAACATGATTAGCCTTCATTTTCTACTCACCCCCATGCTGAACAACACTCTGGAGTACTTTTTTGATATCTCAAATGCATCTGGAGATCTGGGAGGCTTCTTGCTGTCTGCTGACATTCAAATAATGGAGGTGCCCAGCGCCCGAGGCAGAAAGGTCCATAAAAGTCCACAAAAAACGTGTCAATATTCCTCCATACTGCTCGTCCAATGTATTCCAAGTGTCCTGAGTGGGTAGCGTCCATAATTTACTCGAAACAAAGTCATTTATAATGTTTTTAGAGCATAAACAGTAGTGTATAGGATTTCCTGAAAGCGCGCGCCTGCACGTTCCTGACGCTACGGAAACCGCGGCAGACCAAACCGGATGAAAGTGCGCATTCAGCTCGGCAAAGAACTCATGCTCTTCCTCAACACTGAAGTCCTCAGACATTTTTCTTTCGTTGTTTCTTTCTTTGCACAGGTAAACAGCACATTTCTTCTTCTACGCTTGCATTATCGGCAGAGCAGACGCTGAATGCGCACTTTCATCTGGTTTGGTCTGCCGCGGTTTCCGTAGACTCGTGAACGCGCTTTTAGGAAATCCTATACACTACTGTAAATTATGGACGCTACCCACTGAGGACACTTGGAATACATTGGATGAGCAGTATGGAGGAATATTGACACGTTTTTTGTGGACTTTTATGGACCTTTCTGCCTCGGGCACCGTAGACCTCCATTATTTGAATGTCAGCAGACAGCAAGAAGCCTCCCAGATCTCCAGATGCATTTGAGATATCAAAAAAGTACTCCAGAGTGTTGTTCAGCATGGGGGTGAGTAGAAAATGAAGGCTAATCATGTTTTGGGTGTACTATTCCTTTAAGATTGTCAGGGTTTCAGATCTGGGCTCCAGTTGGGCCATTCTATCCTTCATATATCCTTTATTTCAGTAGATATCTAAAGGCTATTTATCAAAGGTTACTTTTATTTGGTGCTGATTATGATTCCTTCCATCATGATTAACACCATAGTGTCAGCTGAAGAGAAACATCCCCAAAGCATGATGCTACCACTACCATGCTTCACTATTAATATGGTGTTTTTTTTTAGTTTTTAGGACGTTGTTTTTATACCAAACACATAGTTTCCACTAATGGCCAGAAAGTTCTGCTGTTCTTTAAATGTTACTTTTGACCTTTTGGTATCTTACCTGACAAAGTTTCTTCTCATCTTTTACCAGTTTTGTTGCTTCATATTTTCTCCAATATATAGTGAAGTAACATCTCCAATTATATGATGGTGAGTTTTTTTTTGTATTTTATTTTATTCCTGAAAAGATTGTAATTAGTTTTTGAACTGACTTGCATTGGTTATATGTCTTAGAACATTGTTATTTACATGAAAACATGTGACATTTTAGCATTGCTGTGCAGACAGTTTTTATCTACTGTAACTTTTCCATGTAAAAAAACAAAGTAAAACATCTACTCCCATTTAAAGTCATGGCCCACCATTTCATAAAACTTAACATTATAAGGCCTGTAAAAGTCTCGAAGTTGCTCAATAGCTTCCCTGTTGATCTGCACGTGAGTTCTGCCCTTAGACTTTCCCAGGCAGCGAGGTGAAGCGCTACTCTCTGGCTTTTTAAGGCAAGGGAAGCCCTTTGTGCGGTTGAAATAGAAATGTTTGTCGGTGACAATGCGCTTCAGTCCGAGGAAGTCTTGCACCCTGGCCAGCTCCCCAGCCGGGTCCGTGATAAGACGCTCTCCACTGACAAAGTGAATCTGAGCCAGAGGGAAGTAACGCAGCCAGTTCTCCAGGTGTAGAGCATACAGTCCGATTCGGATGGCATTCCAGGACATGTCAACAATGCCCATGCTCTGGTTTTTGAAGGCCAGATCCTGGAAGCTTGGCAGGTCTGGGGTTTTGGATAAAGTCTGAGTGTAATCTGATATTGCTCGAGTGACAGGGTCACGGACCACCACTATGAGCTTAGTTTCCTTGGACATGGCAGAGATCCGGCGCGGAGCCTCTTTGGTCACAAAGTAGCTTGGTGTCTTCTCCATCGTCACTTGGCTTTCAAGGGTCCTTGGCATTAAACTTCTGAAATAAAAGAGAAAGTAAAGAACATTGCAAAATTTCAAGTCACATATGCATTTTTTTCTAACAAACAGAGCAGTAACAATGACTGGCCTTTTCATTGCTAAATAACACTCCTGTTCAAATCTGCAAAAATCTCCACCAAGAATAAAATGTTTAAACAAGTAAATAGTATAAATTATACATCTGGTGCAAGAACACAGAGAGCGAAAAGCAAAAGCTAGTCAAACTTAACACCAGTTTGAGCATAAACCCAGTTACTTAATGTAAATGAAGCATACTCAAAGTGGGTTGTTGTCGCTTGAGATTTGTGTCGTAGACAGCTTTCCTGTGCATCAGCCCAGAACTGCTCAAGAGCAATAAATCACCATGAATACAGTCTGAACATTTATATAAAAGAGGTTACTTCTGGGTTCCAAAACTAGGCCACGTTGGTACATTAAAGAAGGTGTCAGGAACGTCCACTCAATCTGTTCTATTAGTTTGGATTGCTGCTTATAATAACTAAAATTAAACATTTTAATGGGACAATTTCTAGATTAATACTTTTATTTTTGCACATAACAATTTTATTTTCAGATACGAATCACATAACTGAATATGGTGAATTTCAACCAAGCTGGGCCTATTTAAGTTTCACACAGCCCACCCAAGCCTTATAAATCTGATGAGCTAAATCAAGAAATCACTGAAATAGACCTTGCCTGGCAACTTGAACTACCCTAAAGATCTCACATGATGTCAAAATGAAAAGAAAAAAAAAAAATACTGAGTGACAAAATCATTTACATGTATCAGCCTGTAAAGAGTTAAAAATAAATTTTTAAAGATCTGAGAATAAGAAAACCTAAAAGAGGGAGGACGATTCACAGAAATAACAAGGAAAACCAGGATTACTGCAAGAATCCAACACAGGCTCATCCATAAGGTAACAAAAGCACCTAGACTATAAATCAAACCAGGCAGGTTTTGGCTCAATTAGGCATTGATGATGCGACAGTTAGAAAGAGAGAAGGAAAACATATAATGGCAGTGCTATTCCTTCGATTAGATAGGGGGACAGCCAATTATTTGTTTTTGTTTTTTACAAAAAAGATTTTTTTCAAGTCAGTTATTTTTGCTCAATATGAATTTGAATGACATAAAGTGTGTATTTGTGACATAAAACATTCAAATTGAGGAATTTGCTGTCATTTGCTTACATTACTTATATTTTTCTAAAGAGGAACTCCGTATTCGGCTCTCAGTTGAGAAAAGAGTTACATTGAAAAGCTGCAAAAATGTTTTGCTTGATTCTTTTATAATGTCTGATTATATGAATAAAACGTTTAACTGTCAAACAAATATCCTTTATTGCACAAGACACACTGATTTTGGTCTAGTAACAATACAAAAAACCATATCAAATAATTTAATGGAAAAGCAAAGTTCTATGACTATCATCAGACTATGTTTTTAGATTTATATTGGTGAATTTCAATTTAATAAGATCATCAATCCTCACTTAATAACGTTTAATCAAATTTCAATTAAAGCCAAGGAAATGTTTGGTTACCTTTTTAAAACTTTTAGGCATACATTATGTTTTCTGTTAAGAATCTTTTCAAACTAATGTGAATTTTTTCACCAGTTTCAATGTGAAAAGGACCTGATCTTGGCAGTCGGGATTCTGGACTGTTCATTCCTCTTGTTTTTTGCTGAGATCCTCTTGGAACCGAAGCATTTGAGGGACAGAATGTGCTTAAACAGCCATGACTGCAGAGTGCAATGCAACAAATGACTTAATGCAATGGGTAATTGGTATCAATAAAGAGTTCCCTGCATCCCAGAAGACCTCTTCAAGTCATTTTAATACCATAGCTGTCCTGGTTGATCTTTAAGGCCATTATTCCAGAGTGAAGGATGCATAATTACCCATGGTGCAAATGTCATAAAAGAGACACGTCAAAAATCAGTTTTAAAACCCCTAACACATGCATGTTTTAGATACTGCCTTCTTTTTAATACATACAAATGAGATACACTAGTTATTAGCTCATGCAGAACATCATTCCATTTGAATACACTATGTTATTGCAGGTTGACATCTAAAACCTGAAGGACACAAGACTGCAGTTGAAGATCCTTGTCACACGTGGTGAGAGTAAAACTGTGATAAAATCTTCAAAAAAAATCACATTAACACAATGAAGAGCAACAAAACTAAGAGTATACTATACTATACTATACTATACTATACTATACTATACTATACTATACTATACTATACTATACTATACTATACTATACTATACTATACTATACTATACTATACTATACTATACTATACTATATGCCTTATGTAAACTGTTTGGAAATTTATTCAGAAACAACCTTAGATTTTATGGAAAACTGAGCAGCTGGAAAAAAAATTGTAGATAATTAAGGGCATACAGAGAGATTTTTACAAAAGGTTCAGAAAATACAATTCTGTTTACCTTCTTAAAATGTGCTTTTATTTGTTCTCCAAAGGAGGACCTGGCCAGGCTGCTTTTGCACCACGGCATTTAGCACTGCTAAGACTTGGCCAGGCAAGCCACCATCTGATGCTTGGCAATTTCACTGCAGGGATCTTTGTTCTTTTGTTTAGATATTGCTTAAAACAAAACATGCACACAGCACCCTCAGTTACAGATTTAGAATGAGAAGAATCCCAACAATAAATTGGACTTCATTAATGAAACAGCTGCTTTATTTAGGAAACATTCTTCTTCTGACCTTTTAACTGTTTTGACAGCTGACACTCAAACTACAGTAATGGCCTTTGGGATCACATCTGTCTGAGATAAAAGGGCTTCAGCTGCCAACCATCCTGAAGAGAGCCAATTAGTGGAGATACTTTCAGCCCATAATTATTGTATACACATATCCCGTAAGACTACTAGGTAGCAAATCCTTAAAGATATATTTATTCAAAATTAGATGAGAATGTTTCGTTGCTTGACTCCATTTATATCACTGTTTTTAACAAACAAAATATGTTTCAGTTTGTAATGATAATAACTGAATACCTAAAGGTATGTTTCATGTTTTGACTAAGAAACAGCCTAATAATAGGGTCTTACCAAGATAAAAATAAAAAGATATATCACTAACATCCTATTTTTTCATCTTTCCTGTTTATAACTTTTTAAAAAGACACTGCACAGCTGGGATATGATGACCAATTACAAATAAAGTGGGTCTGTGTTCTGCCAGTATAAGCAGGGTTCAGTCCCTTGCAGGTAATGGCAATGGCAATAAAACTCCTATAAAAAGGCGCTGACTCAGTGACTTAAGAGAATGTCCCTTACTAAATATTTTCACCCACTTCCCAATGTTAATGACACATAGAGGCCTAAAGGAGAAAAGAAAGAACAAAGTATGGGATCAGAAAGTTAGTTAGGACTATTCTAGGATCTCAATTTAATTCAGTTTGAGTCATTTGTTTTATACAGCACCAATTCATAAAAATCCATCTCAAAGCACCTTTACAGAGACAATTAAATCAAATTACAGACATTTAAGGTTTTCTATCTAAATAAACACATTTGATTGCATTGAGTTATTGAATTTGCAGGATCTGCTTCTCCTTGAGGAGTGCGTAGCAACAGTAAACATCCACTTTCTTTGTGTTGTTGACTCTGCTTTCACTGAACATGCATGCAGCAACAGTGGAGAGGAAAACACCTTTGTAACAGTAAGATATCTCCAGCAGAACCATGCTCAGTGTGAGCAGGCTTCTTTCTAGGACGACTGGGGGTTCAGCCGAATCTCTCAGTAGCCAGATTGATATGTGTAGAACTGAATTGAGTTCTATGTTATCAATCTGGGATGGCTGCTGTTCAGTCTGTCAGTGTAAAGGAGGGACATTTAATACAAAACTTTGAGCTTATTGGGTAATGTGCCAGCTAGTAGCTGCCTTCCATAATACGCTTTCAGCCAATCGTGGCATCGCAATTGGATTTGTCTGCTGCTTCTTGAGTGTTTTCATATCTAGCAGAGTTAGCTGATAAATCATACTTTTTCCAAAGCCTGTCGGGAGAAAAGCACAGAAATCTATTCTTTCCTCCTTTTTTAAATGAGAAATTGTCGCTATTTTAGCTAAAATCGAGTCAGCTGGGGTATGGACAGGTGAGTCTTCCAGTATAGCCATGTTTGCTTCGACATCACCCTTCTGACTGTCGTCATTCCTAAAGGTCCCGCCCCAAAAAACACTGCTGGCATGACATTGGTCCCACCCGCTGGTGAGTAAATGTACTTATTACTGGGAGTCTTCAAGATGGATTTGTTGTGAGAAAACTAAGATCCAGCGACAATCCAGCTTGTGCAATGTTAGGTTCAGCCTACTCACAAATTAAAAACTAAATAAACATGGCTACCTTAAACATTTAAAGTGACGTGCATTAGGTCTTTGGTCAATCTCATAAATTAGTTAAACACAAACATTTTACCAATATATTTACTGCAAAAACAATAAAATAAATAAAAAAAAGCATAGGTGAAGTTGGAGAAGACTATTAGGTATATATAAAATCTAAGCTTTGTTGTGAAGTCTAATAAGTAGATACCTTCTGGATATAGATAATTGACATATTAACTAAGGGATATGCATTTGTAGAAAGTCCGTATAAAACCTATGAATACAAAAAAGGACCTACTTTTGTTTGAAATAGATGGGTTTCTTTTTTATGCTGCTAGTTTAACTGTAAGAGAATCAGCTGCTGGTGCAAAATATGGTTTATGGCAGAACGCTGATTTAGTATTGGAGTAAAGGGGTCCTGAAATTCTGACATCATGACATCTGCATTATTGGTTAAACTTGAAAACTTCATGGCATATATGCTACCAAATATTTTTTTTCGTATAATTATGTTTAATTATAGTCATTGTCCTGAAATAAAATTTTTCCCTATACATTAATCGGAAGAGAAATAGATAAATAAATAAATAAAACTCACGCAATTTTCAGCAAATATGCAGCAATATATCTTCCAAAGAGCCTGTAAAACATTGCTTTGGGTTTAGGTTTTATAATAAAAATATCTAAATTGGAATAGAGCTTAGAAAACAAGAAAACGTGTCTGTCAGTAAAATCTGATTGGTTAACTGGGCTATATAAATATATATACATATACATATATATATACATATATATATATATATACATATATATATATATATATATATATATATATATATATATATATATATATATATATATATATATATATATATATATATATATATATATATATATATATATAAATATAAAATCTTTTTGCTGCTGTATCCTGCAAAAAATGTCGTTAACTAAGTGTATTTACCATTAATTTGTATAGGTAATTAAGATAATTTGCCAATGGAATTAGTGTTTTTACTCTTAATATAAGATAATTAGATAATATGTACTTGAAATAAGACAAGGCAATTGTGTTATTTCTTATTTTAAATGTTAATTTTCTTGTTTCATTGGCAAAGTGTCTCACTTACCTCCTCAATTCAAGAGAAAAAGGACTTATTGCAAGAAAATATGACTTCTTTAGATTTCAATTTGCAGTGTAAACATCAGAATTTCTCCATTGTGGGACAATAAAGGGATTTTCTATTCTGTTCTTTAAGACGTGGCTCTAAAGTGATAATTCTTAAGTGTCTAACTCATTTTCCTCTCACTTTGGCGTCTGTTTACGCTTAATGATAAATTGTGGTTTCGTTAAATGTGTCCTTACCTGTACCACTCCAGACCTCTGTCATAATTTCTATCAAAGAAATGAGTTTCGGTCCCAGCTGCTCGGACGTCCGGATGAATTCTAATAAACTCCAGAACCGCCCTTGTTCCTCCCTTTTTAACCCCAACTATGATGGCGTTTGGTAACTTTTTATTACCGAACTTTAGGTGACTCATCGGGGGACTGGGGGTATTGTCCCTGACGGCTGCAGAGCGTCTTTGCTCGCCTTGCGGCTGCGATGCCTCATCAGCGGCGCTGCGCTTTCTTGCGTCCAGCGGAGAGAGACAGGTGAGTGGTTTCTGAAGGCGCAGTTTCGCTCCAGCAGTTCGCAGACAGCTGGGTGTTGGATCATCTGACTTTTGCATGACAGCACCTCCAGGAAAAAGCGCACAATAACACAAAAACGAAAGAAAAAGAGATACGATGCAAAATGATGTTCCTCTGAGCCGGTGCGAAAAGGGGAAAAGTCGACTGAAGATGAGCACGCATGCCATCTCTCCATTTAGATAAACAGTTCATGGTTTAGGCTGTTAACTGACTAGGCGTCCCATCCTTTCTAACTACTTTACCCTTTTAAACGACACAGCTGGTAATTGATCCCAAAAGAATACAGACCTTCAGATACATTGATAACCCAATATTTCCATCATCTACGGCGCGGGGATCTATATATCCAATGATCCATAAATTCACATTCCCATCCTCTCAGTTCACCGCCAGGGAATTTGTCAGGTCACTTTGTGTTGACTTGGAAGGCGACATCCTCCTTTAAAACTCCTGAAGGTCTCCGTGATCATTACGCACGACAGGGAGACTGCAGGAGCGCACGCTGTAGAAACATGCGGGGACTGGGGGCTCCAAACCATCCGAGTGGCGCAAAAACATTTCAATACTGTGACGTCAGAGCACTGTGGAGTAAAAAAATAAATAAAGTATCTTATCTTGGTTATTTTCGTTGATGTTCAGAGCTGATGCAAAACAATCACCTAAACTTTAGCTCAACAAAGAATAATATTTTAAAATAAAAAATATTTACATCAACATCATAATGAAGAAGCAGGAGACACAATGATAACCATTAATTTCCCCCTTAGCTAAATGTGAAATACCTTCATGTTTATGTCAAACATGATTTAAAGGTACATTTATTTCAATTTATACACACTAATCAAAGTTAGAATATTACATTAGATCGAAAAGAAACAACATAAAACAAGGGTTTGAATGCAAACTCTTGCTTACTGAAAGCATGTCTTTGTATTGAACATTATAGTGGCCTTTAACTTAATTTAAATGGTTTAATGTCCCTTATCTTCCAGTAACAATACTTTCTTGGTGTTTAGGCGAGTTTGCTGGTCAGTCAAAACTAGTATTTACACTTTAATCAGCAGGTGTCACATACTACTGGAAAATAAGACCTTAGAGGATCAACAGCAGCAGGTGACATAACTAAGCAGAATAGAATATTATTCAACTTTATTGTCACTACAATGCCACAAGTAGAAAGCAACAAAATTCACTATCTGCATTTAACCCATCCCCTTGCCTTGGGCTGCCATTGTGCGGCGCCTGGGGAGCAGTGTGATGTTCAGGGTCTTGCTCAGGGACCCAGGCTGCAGGCTGTGGTTATCAAACCGGGTACTTGCAACCTTCTCAGAGCACAGGCGCACTGCTCTAACCACTAGGCCAACACTCCCCATTAGTGGAAACCTTAGGACTATGGAAGACTGGATTCTGTGGCTCTCCACTTTTTCTCCAGAAGTAAATACTGTACTCTCATATAAAACGGGAATTTGGACCAACTGTCATGAAACAGGCTAGATGGATCCAGTATTCAAACCGAGACCGTCAGTAGGAAAGTTCAAAGTGTTTATTAAAACAAAACAGCACTGAAACAGAACAGAAACGGGCTGCGGATCTGTGGATCTGCAGCAATGGTGGGGAAAGCGGGGCAGGGCACCGCCCAATCTCTGGAGGGAGAAACACAGGTAAGTGACCCAATCATCTGACAGGAGATGATTATAAAAGTGAGTTACTTACCTGGTTTAACAGTTCAGTCCATTCTCTGTGTGGAAAGCAGGCTCCATCTGATGGACTCCAAAAGGGGATCCAGCACAGAGCTGCCCAGGGTGTCCCCGATCAATGCAACAACCACAGAGAGCTGACAGGAGACCGATCAAGGTCAGAACCGGACAGTTCTGAGATCCAGGAGTCCTCAGCTCGATTAGAAGTTCTGATCCACACAGGAACAGACAGAAACGGAATCCACAGTGCGCTCAGGCTGGTTCAGAGTTCCAGAGAGTCCAGAAGCGTGCCCAGACTGACACTCACAGACGCATACAGGCAGGCTCTGGGGTTGAGGGAACAGAGACAAAACCTGGTACCAAGATTTTTGCAAGACTTCAAACTGGTCTCCTTCTAGGAACTCAACCTTCCTTCCATGCGTGCAGAAGGGCCAGAACAGGATCAGAAGAAGAGACAAACACAAAACCTCTCAACCCACTGGCACCCAGGAACAAAGACATGAACTTTAGAAATAAACCAAAAAACAAACAGAAAACAAACAATGATCTGGCGTCAATAGCTGGGCTGGACCAAATATAAAGGAACAGAAACGGGTGGATAAGATGAGTGATAATTAGAGACTGGGCAGAGTTAGACAGATGAGTGAAATTGACAATTAAGGCCAAATATCAGGGCAGATCAGTCTTAAGCCTCTGATGCTGTCTCTGTGTCAGGAGTGACGTAACCCAATTGTTTAAGATTGTAAACAGTTGTCCTGATTCTTGAAGCTCTGTGTTATATTCTTTGTTAAAAGATATATCAGAAGAAGAGAGAAAAGATAAAATATCAAAACACTTTATGATTCGGTTTTACTTTGGCAATGATTTTAGTTAGATTCTGTTTTTTATACTTATGTTTCCTCTTGGCTGTTTTTTGTTTCTGCCTTTAGTGGAGTTATTTTCCCCTGGTCCTGCTGGTGCTTTTCACAAGCCAAAAACATTACGGAAGACATCAGCCAAAGGGGCACATTAACTTATGACTTATATACAGAAGATATACATAGTGGGTTATCTGGGGGACAACTAAAAAAAATAAAAACTACATTATGTTAGCTCACACAACATCAGCTCATAGGCAGATTTTACCATACATAGTAGCACACAACATTCAGTAGAGTTAAGTTCTGTGAAGCTCCAAAACAGCCACATTAAAGGATTATGTGGTGAGAATTAATTCATCACACTAAATGTTTTGTTTTTGGGAGTTTTCCTTTTTTAAACTTCAGTTTATTACTCTTTGTAGCTAATTAAATTGGCAGCATTTGGTGCATACTTGCTAATTGGACTATTTTGGGCAGAACTGGCAAACCCTCTTGCAGATATAAAGCTGCTTATGACAGACAGCCTTTTATAGTCAAATTGCATGGCAGATTTAGGTGATGATTGTTTCACCTTTAATTCAACATTATCATTTCATAGATAACCATAAATGATCATCTGGAAAATTTGATAATTACAAACATGAAGATTTCATAATATTTGGACAAATATCCTACAGAAAATTGCAAGGAATGTCCTCACTTTGACATGAAAAATAACAATTTGGGATAATTCTTTTTAGATGTTGATTAGTAATGGTAAATTATACATTTTGTTAGATTTTCTGGTATGGTCCAGAATTGTTCAGCAGAACAATGTTATACTTAAACACATTTTTATGTCATTTTGTGTGCACAGAGTGTATACTAGAAAAAAATTCTGTTGCATACAACTTACAACAGTGTACTGAGTAGCTCACAACAGTAAAACAGTGAAATGAACATTCCCAGTTATAAAGTTCAGCAGAAATCAGAATGTAAACAGGAGTGTAGGAGAAAAGAAACCAGTCTAAAAATAATGGTGCAAAAAGGAATTAATGTGAAAAGGTTTAGTGCATTGCAAAGTACATATGGTGCAAAATGTATTAGAACACTGAGTTGTGTCCTATTTAAAAGGACTATAAAAGTTCAGCACATAGTAAAATAATGTTGCAACTGTGATGCAGAATCCCCTTTAGAGTTCAGCAGTCCTACAGTCTGATTGCATCAGGGAAAAAGCTGTTGCAGAACCTGTTGGACCTGATGAGAAGCCTCTTTCCAGAGGGCAGCAGGGAGAACAGTCCATGGTGGGGGTGTGAGGGGTCATTGATGATGTTATGGGATTGGGACACACAGCGCTGGGATTAAATGTCTTTAATGGAGGGAAGAGGAGCCCTGGTGATCCTCTCTGCTGTCCTCACTGCTCTTCTCTCTTTCTTTCAGTCTGAGGCGCTGCAGCCTCTACACCACACAATGAGACAGCTGGTCAGAATCCTCTCTATGATGCTTAAGAAAATCTGACAAAGATCAAGTTTCAACCATATCTGACGTTTTGATCAGGAGTTCAATATGTGAGGAGCTATCAATCTTCACTTAGTGCAAAATACCGAAAGAAACCCTCAGCACTTTGCTTGGTACGGTAATCTTTGGTTTGAAAGCGTTAATGACTTCTGAAAACATCTGTTATGCCAGACCTGGTACAGTGATCCTATCCCCTCACATAATAGCATCTCCAACAATACTTTCTGTTTCTTTTGCCAGATAATCTGATGTTTGTCTCATCATCATTCATCATCAAACTATTTTCTTCCCCACCAAGCGCAAATTGGATTTGCATATATTTTTCAAATGCAACTTATTTCTTTTACATAAAGTTAATGTGGATAGTGACACTTAACTTCCTTTCTTAACTTCCAGTCTAAGATAGACTTGGGTTAGAGGGAAGGTTCTGGTTGGATAGATAAAGGTGTTATACATTCCAAGAAAATGAAGACCCCAAACTGGTTTCAATATAATTTGCAATAAATTAAAGCTTTTGCACTAATTTGCTGTATTTCTAAAATCATTAAACATATATAATGTATCAGGATTGTTCAAATAAACTATTAATAGCTGAAAATCATTGTAAGACACACACATAAGGTGGCTGCACTTTTTTTTTAAACTGTAAAGTTTAACTCAGTAGTCATGAACAAATTACAATATATATATATATTTTTTTGTAGACCAACCCATCATTATCCAAATACATCCTGTTACAGTATAAGACCACAACTTTTAGACCCCCTTGAAATATTCTTATCCAGGAGAGTTTTTTATCTGAACTGATCTCTGCTGGCACAACTTGCCTTGTAGCAGAGAAAGTTGGAGGACTGGTGTGTGGTCATCTTTCTTAGTTTTTTTCTGATGACTGGTAGAAATCCAGACAAGGCCCAAGGTGGGGAAACAGTGAAGGGTAAAAACTCTCAGGACTGCAAAGACACATGGGGAGGAGTTGAGATGTCACAGTGGCGCTCCCGCTGGTGTCTGCGCCCAATCTCACAGGCCTCTGATTAAAGAATGATTTATAGAGGCTAGTCAGAGGGAGCTGCTTGGCAATCCGTCTAGTGAATGAGATTTTTCCTCAGGAAGAGGGCGGGTAAATCAAACCTCGAGGCGAGAAGCTTGCGAAGCTCAGCGATAGGGCCCTGTGATTAAATGTTATAATCGTACTTCTCTGCTGAGACCACAGCTTGGGTTTTCAGTGTTGCCACCAAAAATAATAAAATCAGTTTACCCTTTGTCTCATTCCCTGAGCATAAGTCTTATTTTAACTTATTACATAGAAGCATAACCTTTTCGACCTCGATAAACCATAACCCAACCGCAGTACGTAACTCTTAGTTTAGCACCATCAGCACAAAAACCCCCACAATAAACACAATGTATTACATTTGGAGTAAACACATTTAAAAGCTAATTTGTTCAAAGGTGATAAAGACACACTAGCTCCCAACATAGCTTGGAGAACCCAATATTTTTCACGATGCTGACTCTGTTTTGGGGCTCTCTAAATATAGGTTATTTACCCACCAATCCATCAGACACGCTGCCCATTTGTCAAAGTAGGAAGACACTGCCTGTCCTGGACCTGATCAGACACTGAGGGCAGATATGGATGATCCAGACAGCTTAACATTAAAGATGGATGAAGAATCACTCCTGTGGATTTAGTTCACAGCACTGATAGAAAGAAAGCATACATGTAAAAGTTAAATGCTTAGGGACAAAACATGGTAGCAGCTTCTATGTTATAAAGGAATTAGATTTTTTGACATTCATCCTTTCAAGATCAATAAAGGATTTTTGCATTGAAATAAAGAGAATTTTTGAAATATATCAAAAATGCTTTGAACATACATTAAGAAAATTAAGGTCTGGAAGTTACCTTATAGGAGTTATTTGAGTAATGAGAGAGAAAATAACGATGCAGCACCGCCACCTGCTGGTTGGTAGATGGTATCACACTCATTCTGTGTCTAAATGAAAGCGAAAGTTTTCAGTCTAAAGACGGAAAAGGACAACAGTCGGATAGTTAGACGGTGAGTTAACTTTATTTTCATGCGAAATATATATATTTTTAAAGACATATAAAAACTCTTTAATGAATGGGATATGTCAAGTTAAACAGCAGGTTTTAAAAATGGCAGGTAAACACGTTCTAGTTTTATTTTGTTAGGAACTTTTATAAAGCGATATCACCGCCTTTCTGAAGTGTATTTTGAGGATTGTTGAAACATTTTGACGTTTTTAATTACTGTTTTTGTGATAAGGTGAAGCAAAAAAAGTTATTTAAAGAAGCATCTTCTTTAATTAATCAATTAATCATTAGGTTAAAATCAAGGTCTTTCTGTACAGTGGTAAGATAAGTGGTAGAGATAACCTGGTAAACTCAAGAAACTATTGAAAAAAATACAGTTATTCATTCTTACAAACAAACAAACAAAAGTATTAAGTATTTCAATCAAAAATTGTAATTTAGAGTATTGAATTTTTTTATCCTAAGCTGTAAATTTCTAACTAATATGCATAATTTTTGACCGAGGTTGAATAATCTGGTGATTTAAACAATTTTTTCCCCTTATGCTAACTCAAACTTTAAACACTAATTCCATTTTCTGATGGGTATTTATTTTAGCAAATCATTGAGGTACAAAATTCTTCACTCTGGATTTTTAAGTTTGGAAAATTGACATATTATCCATTTTCCAGACCCAGGGAAGTACTGAAGAGAACCCCCCCCTCCCATTTGATTGATTCAAAGTTATCTATATAAGGAAAACCAGTTGTTTGCATCAGCTCATTGACCTTAAAGGAATAGTACACCCAAAACATGATTAGCCTTCATTTTCTACTCACCCCCATGCTGAACAACACTCTGGAGTACTTTTTTGATATCTCAAATGCATCTGGAGATCTGGGAGGCTTCTTGCTGTCTGCTGACATTCAAATAATAGAGGTGCCCAGCGCCCGAGACAGAAAGGTCCATAAAAGTCCACAAAAAACGTTTCAATATTCCTCCATACTGCTCGTCCAATGTATTCCAAGTGTCCTGAGTGGGTAGCATCCAGAATTTACTCGAAACGAAGTCATTTAGAATGTTTTTAGAGCATAAACAGTAGTGTATAGGATTTCCTGAAAGCGCGCACATGCGCGCTCCCGACGCTACGGAAGCCGGCAGACCAAACCAGCGCATTCAGATCGGCAAAGAACTCATGCTCTTCCTCAACACTGAAGTCCTCAGACATTTTTCTTTCGTTGTTTCTTTCTTTGCACAGGTAAACAGCACATTTCTTCTTCTACGCTTGCATATTTGGCAGAGCAGACGCTGAATGCGCACTTTCATCTGGCTTGGTCTGCCGGCTTCCGTAGCGTCATGAACGCGCCGGCGCGCGCTTTCAGGAAATCCTATACACTACTGTTTATGCTCTAAAAACATTCTAAATGACTTCGTTTCGAGTAAATTCTGGATGCTACCCACTCAGGACACTTGGAATACATTGGACGAGCAGTATGGAGGAATATTGACACGTTTTTTGTGGACTTTTATGGACCTTTCTGTCTCGGTCACCATAGACCTCCATTATTTGAATGTCAGCAGACAGCAAGAAGCCTCCCAGATCTCCAGATGCATTTGAGATATCAAAAAAGTACTCCAGAGTGTTGTTCAGCATGGGGGTGAGTAGAAAATGAAGGCTAATCATGTTTTGGGTGTACTATTCCTTTAATGCAATCCCTAAGCATGCTTGTAGCAACAGTAGAGAGGAAGAACTCCCTTTTAACAAGAAGAAACCTCCAGCAGAGCCAGGCTTAGCCTGAGCGGCCATCTGCTGAGGCCGACTGGGGTTCAAAGACAAAAGCAGAGATACAAATTCAACTGTAAAAGGAGGCCCTGTCCAGGAAACACACAGCCAGGCAGACGAGCTCTAAGCCAGCTCCCATGTCAGAGGATGAAAAGAGCACATCCAGCCAGTCACAGTCAGAGAAACAGGACTACACTGGAAAACAGGCCGATCTCCAACATCTATAAACACAGGTGTTGATGGCAGCAGCACAGCTGATAGGAACAGACAGGAACAGACGAGGCAAAGCTACTATGAGGAAAAAGCAGAGAGAGCATAACGTTAGAGACTGAACTAACAAATTTATACTTCAAACCTCATGCCTCAGCATGTCCTTTGTCAAGTGTCTTTCTGGCTTTTTCTGTAGGCCACCTACGTCCCTCTTCCCCTTTTCACTTTGTTTCTGATTTGTTTTACCTCCCACTTCTTCTTTTTTCTTTTTCATGTCCATTAATATATATACTTAAATCTTCCTTCCCTTTGTTCTTTCCTTTTCGTTTATCCATCTTTGCTTACCTCCCTTTTTCTTTGTCTGCATATTGTTCTGCATATTGTGCTTCTCAGTGTCTATCATTCTGTCTTTCCTTATCTCCTTCCTGCCTCTTTCTTTTTAATGTCTGCTTCCTGAAGAAAGCGATCTGACTTTAATTTCAACAGAGGTGAAATGTGCAAAAAGCTCTTAAATATAAGCCTGGTGGTGATAAATAGTTTGTAATGATATTTAACAAATGATACAGGTTCTGCATATTGTTTTCAATCCTTTACAAAAAGGGAGATGTAATACTGTAAGTAGGATGAAAGAAATCTAAAGGATTTCATTACTAAGGAAACATGGAGCCATTGAAGAGAAAAATTCTGTCTGTTTAAATATTCCTCATTCAAGATGTGCTTTTTTTGGGCACAGAAAATATAAACTAGCTTATCCTGATTTGGTTTAATGTGTCCATAGGATACATGATCAACAAGCTATGCGGGAGACCCAATCGTCCCTGTTGCTCAACAGAAAGTTCAGGAAAGGAAGGGCAAAGACCACTATTTGAGTCCATAAGTAGAATGTCACAGTTGTACTTATTTCTTAAAAGCTTTCCATAAAAAAAGAAAATTTAAAGAGACTATAACTCATTTTTAGAATGGAATAGAATAGAATTCAACTTTATTGTCATTACACTGTCATAAGTACAAGCAATGAAATGTGGTTTGCTTCTATTTAGAAGTGCAATACAGGATATAAATATTTATTTAATTGCTCACACAGACTATGTATGCATTGATTATACATGGTATACATAAGCAGAACATAATTGTGAAAGGCTATAAAATAAATAAATATGAAAACAATTTACAGATTTAAAAGGAAAGCTAGGATGTGGATTTTATATCACAAAGATACGTTTTTTAGAAACATTAAGCATAATTTAGTGAAGAGCGGTATAAGTTCTGTTTAAATTTTAAAGTGGTGGATTGTCTTTCCTTTGGAGCCCCGTCACAGTTTGTGGGGTACTAGGCATTTGCATACTCCAAATATATCTACGAGCGGCACTTGTTCCTTAGGGTTTCTAGGCTATTAATAGAAGTTAGTGAGAACTGCTCTCAGTGTAAGTTTGTCATGAAATAACTAGTCAGAAATGCATCAATCGGATTTTAATACCGGCATTGATCCTAAATTTGCAGGAATTTTAAAATTGGGTATTGGTGAAAATAGGAGCAGATGTATTATGAATATTTATTTAATACAAGAAAAGTAGAAATGTTAACACTTTATGCTCATCTAGATTTTATAAATACAGTCAATTTGAACCCTTATACCCAGGGTCCGAAATTAATTTTTTGACACACAGGCCAAGTGGACCGGAAGACAAAATTATTTACCGATTAAGCATTATTTTTACTGGCCAGAAAAAATATTTATAATTCTTCTAATCATATATTTGTAAGAAAGATATTACTTCTCTTAGGCATTATGTTAAATGCAAACAAAGTTACAGTAAAAGGGAATGTAGTTTAATTAAATGAAGTTGTAATTTAGAATTCCGTTAAATTTCATTGAGAAAAGTGCAAAATACTTTTATCTGATAGAGAGACCAAAATTAAAACCATTCAAAAAACAGCAAACTATTTTCCTTAAAGGTACACTATGCAACCGGTGTTGATTTTCCAGTGAGGCTCCCTCCAGAGGGCGAAAGTAAAAGTGCACTGTCGTAAATATGCACAGCTGTTCTCCTGGTTTCTCCGTCAAGCCAGGCGCGGTTGTTTTGAGCTTAGCAGCGAATGACTAACGCTGCGTTCACACTGGATGTAGCTGGCGCGACAGAAGCAGCGAGTTTAAATGCAAAGTCAATGGTTGACGCGCGTCAAGGCGCGTTTTGAGATGCAGGCGCAGCACGTCTGAGCGGCTGCAGCAGCGCGTCGGGTGCGTTTAACGCAGGGAGAGAGACACAGCGCTGATGATCACTCCTCTTAAACAGTTTATTGACGCCTAAATTAACTTAAAATGCAGAAATCTGCCGGCAGAATATGCAGTTTGGATTATTTAGATGAAAAACACCTACCAGCTGCCGCGGTGAACCGCTGCTGATGAAGGGATCCATACTGTCGGCGCATCCCTGGTATGTGGGGGTCTGAGCGGCTCCGACAGAAAAAATATTGAAGGCAGGATGGTAATCTGGATGAACTGACGGCACTGATTACGTTTTCAGGTGCATTTTCTCACTTAAAAACATATAAAAACTACTTTATTCCCACTGATCACAGCAAATATAGCTGCAAGGCAGAGAAAGGATAGTGAAGCTCCGCCCAACGCGCCTCAGACACACTTTTGCAGCCAGAGCAGCAAAGCTGCTTCAGCCGCGCGTCAGAACTAACTGGTACAAGCAGCAAAAGTGAAGCAGCAGACACGATTTTGCTGCTTTTGCTGCGTGAACGTAGCATAACTGCACAAAGATTGCCACTGTGCTAGCAACGAGAATGCTTTTTACTGGGGGCGTGTAGCAGTTCTTGCCGTAAAGCAAGACTGACTCTCACGAGACTTCTGAGCCTGTGGGTGCGGGTCGGTGCTCCTGCAATTGCAAGTGCAGTATTTCCCCCACAGACCACCAGGGCGGCCGAGAATACCTTTGTTCAACCTGAAATGACTCATTTAGTCATCCATAACGTTATGGAACACATTAATTAACTGAAAAATGTTGCATAGGGTCCCTTTAATTATATATTTTTATATAAAAAAGCGTAGCCTTTTTTCCTTTGGCATGAGCAGTGCATAACAATATTTTCATCTTTGTGTGTTTGTGCTGATATAGCCATCAGCGCACTCACAGTTGCTGTGGCATGGGTAGTTTTGATTAAGCCTGAGACATGAACATCCAATGAATGTGTTCACGGATTCTCTCCAGTTTCATTGACTGACTCTCCTCCTTATCGGCATGTTTTCTTTTAGAAGGCTTGGTTGCTCCGAGTATAAACCGCCTAGCGGTGGAGTTGTTGTTAAATGACGGAATGTTAGTTGTGTGCTCTCTGCGCGCATCTGTCTATTTGGGAGCAAAGGGACAGAGCGGAGACTTACCAAAATAAAAGAAGAAAGGACATGACTAAAGCAAAATTTGGTTGCCATGGCTTCCTTCTATGTTACTCTCCATTGTTTACTTTCCTGATTTCTGTTGCACTTGCGACATCCTCAATGCTAACTCAGCGTGATGGCGTCACACTGGAAAAACGATCTAGAAATAAGTTTAAATTTCTTAAATTAAGTGTATTTATCCTTAATTTGAGTAGGTAAATTAGATAGTTTGCCATTGGAATGAGTATTTTTACTCTTAAAATAAGATATTTAAATGAAATGCACTTGAAATAAGACAATGCAATTGTGTTTTCTTATTTTAAATGTAAATTGTCTTGCTTCATTGGCAAAATGTCTCTTTTACCTTCTCAATTCACAAATTAACTTCTTTTAAGAAAAAATGACTTATTTAGATGTAGATTTTTTTCCTAGTGCACCAGACACACAGAGGCAGGGGGACAGAGGCCATGCAGATTGCAAGCAGGAGATCAGACTTAGCTTTTTTTGTCAACGGGAAGGGAACCAAATGCCAGTTGTTAGCGGGCCGACCCATGTTTAAAAAACATGCGTTAACCTGCTAATTTCAGTGTCTAATATCCCGCAACAAGGAATCATGGACAAGCAAGCTTTCAAAGTGAGGAAAAAAACTGAAACTCTGGAGTGAACATCTACATGTTAGGAAAATTGGAAAAAAAATCGCAAATTTGGTTAGTAATAATAATTTTGATTTTTGACTAAATTATTCAGCCCTACAGTTTGCACAGTTTATACAGTTTGATAGCCTTCTTTTTTGACCTTTTACTAACCCTAAGTTGCCTTTTGGAAAAATTGTGTATACATGCATATGTACTGTATATACTCCCGTTTAGAAAGGATTTAATAACAGCCTCTTAAAAAAAATCTAAATTAATAATGATAACACGAACGCAAACAGAGCTCTGGTATGAAAAAAAGTTTTTGGATCTGCAGTTATTCAGATTGAAAGAGAACAAATGGTGATTGGTGCATACTAGAGATTTAAATTTTTTCGGGAATCCCACTGGTCACGAGATACCCGTGGGATGGGAGTCAGTATTAGTAACGATCACGTGATTGGGACGGTACAGGATTAAACATTAACGGGAGCAGACGTGAGCGGGAGCAAACCAATAGTAACTAAAAAAAACTAGGATCGATGCCAAAAAAATAAAATAAAATAGAAAGAAAAAAAAATCCAGTACTTGCGCCGCCATTTTGTAGTTTTTTTTCTTGAAGCCTACACTATAATGCGAGTCAAAAAAACTACATGACCCAAAAACCATTTATAATTATTATTCCTTTTACTTTAACTGACCTTTACTACAGTTAGAAACAGGAACTTACAGTAACTGACCCTTCATAGAAATTCAGATTCAATGTATTGGCAGAAATCTTATTGAGGACAACAAGAATGGGAGTGGTGCAGGAGCGGGAGTCATTCTGAATGGGAGCGGGATGGGAGTGGGAGTAATTTCACCAGGAGTGGGACGGGACAGGATTTAGATTTCTACTCTGGCCCGGGATCGGGACGGGACACAATTTTTTTCTGTGGGAGTGGGACGGGACAGGAGTGAAAATCCACTCCTGTGTCAGTCTCTAGTGCATACCTAGAAACAGCATCATTCAGCCTAAGGTTTTTTTTAAAAAAGGTTCCTGGTCCTAAACCGTGATTTGGCCTTCAAAATACATTTTCAAATGTTAAAATTTGGCAACAGATAAAAATATTTTTACTAAATGTTTCTTTGCAAAACTGCAATTTGCAAAGCTCGGATTGAGTAAAATCTATTTTATTGTTTTCTCTTTTTTTTAGGAAAAATGGTTAAGATTTTTTCACATGTTTCTGGGAACACCTTTGATTCTCATAACAAAATAATAAAAAGACTCAAGAAACGTGGCGCAAAAGAAGTATCTGACCCAGGAGAGAGTGATTACACAATTGTCTTCTGCCCTATCGTTAGTCGTTTCGAGACAGACATTCGGTCAGCCTTATCTGCTGTGCAAGGTAAATATACATCAGTATTATGTTTATACATGTATTTTTACTGCATGACTCACACTCTGGCTCTATGTCAAAGGCAATGGCAGTGTGATTCTGGTTGCAATGCATCATACCTACGACCCAGACTACATTTTACCAGACAAAAGGAACTTGGACAACGGAGCCATTCAACTCCTGGTAGAGTGTCTGTTTTTTGAGAACAAAGGACTTTTGAAATGTTCTCGAAATTCAAAGGCTAAGAAATCTATCTACAGAAAGGTAATCTATTTAAATCATTGTGCTATTGTATGGATAATAACTGTTATTGCAAATTGTAGTGACATCAGGCAACAGAAATAGCTCCTTTTTGGCCTGTCCATAGAGTCCAGGGTTCTGTAATGACAGTCCTGGAGGTGTCCTGCATCTTTGCTTCCACACCTGAATCTAATGGCTGAATGAATTCCTCAGTATTGTTACGGTTCTACCCTTTTGGGACAATTCGTTTTTAGTTAGTTTAGTTTCCTCGCGCAAAGGGAAATGCGTTTTGACAGGTTGAGACAAACCTTTTCTGTAAGCCTCCTCCTGATTGGGCTTTGCAGACACGATCACATGAGAAGTAGTGTCAAAAAGCCTTTGATTGACAGCTCATCATCCACAAATGAAGATGACGGATAGAGGCAGAACAGTGGTGGAGGCTTCTCCAATGTTTGCGGTACATGGGATAAGTGATAAGTGTCAGTCAAAGGCTTCCTGACACTACTTCCCGTGTGATCGTGTCTGCAAGACCCAAACAAGAGGAGGCTTACAGAAGAGGCTTGTGTCCACCCAACCAGACAAAATGCATTTTCGTTTGTGTGACGAGAAAATCAATCCGAGGACAGAGAGGCTTTCGAGAGCGCAGCCGTCCTCGAGTTTGGCAGATGTATAGAAAATTGTGCACACAATGAGATCCTGAGCATGATCCCGGGTGTGCGTGGCAGTAGCTAGCGTGCACAGATTGTCTCCTCTTGAAGCGGCAGTTTCTCACGCATGTGTAATTTTGTTGTGCGGTGGTAGATAAACCATGCACAGAAATAGTTTAACATACCGGCGAGTATGTTTATTTTGCTTGTGGGCGTTTTGAAATACATGTGACGCCATACTACCAGAGATGGTGACTGTGCGTCTATCACAGGTGTCATGTCACTGTAATTGCCATATTTGTGCCTGTCGTTTCGCTAGTAGTATATGAACAATTATTAGGAAGCATCCTGCTGCCTCTTCCTACTCCTTCCTTATTGCCAGCACTATTTGGACAGCACTTACTATGGCAACTTTTTATGAGCTTCCTCTTTGTCTTACATGTCCTAATATGCTTATTCCGATTGAGCCAATTTCTCCAGAATTCTGCTATTGACCTCTTATCAGACCCAGGACTCCAGACCTCGAGGAGTAGAGTTGAAGATCCCTAATCTAGATTGTTAATTATTGGTCGTCTTTTAAAGGAGCGCCCCTGCAGGCAGGAAAAAGTCTAAGCAACTTCTGATTGGAATGACAATAAGGAACAATGGTTTTTGGAAAACAAAAATCAGAGCGTTTATTTATCTGATCAGCCAGTGTTATCTGTTTCTTTCACAAAGATCAGCTGTGGTGCAGCCAACATAGACATATGTAACAAAACCACATTTTGCACATATTTTAGATTATTTGAATGTTTTTTTGTACCATTGAAGAAAAGGATTTTTTTCACAGAATAATTATTTTTTGTAATGTTTTGCTGTGTTTTTTTTGCATAAACTGTGGTTGACAGTTTTCGTTTACGTCTTAATCAAAGACTATTTCAGTTTGTGATATCTGAAACACTGGGGTGTAAATATTATGATCTAAATTATTCATAATAGATCTTTCATTGCTTTTTAAAAATATCTTGTTTCTGATTTTTTGTTTTTCAGCTGGGGCTTCCAACTAAGAAGATGATGCCAATGAAAATGTAGCACTATTCAAACAGGGATGCATGATTACTGGATTGCAAGTGTTTGGTGCACAGCAATAGCTTTTTTCTAGATATAAGGTACTTTAAAGGATACCTTTGTATTCTTTTGTGAAGGAAATTAAATAAGCTGGTTAACACATGTAAATATTTGGGATTTTGGTATTTTGAATTGATGATGCCCTCAATTTAAAAACCTATTTTGAAACTTTATTTGAAGCTGTGTTTTTCATTTTCTAAACAAGTTGTTTTTCTTTAAGCTGCTACAAAGTAGCTTGTTGGTGCAACTTGTTTGTCTATGTTGGAGTATTTTCTTTTATATATGAATGCCACTTCAAAATGTCTTAGGAGGCTTACCGTATTTTCTGGACTATAGAGTGCCGCTCACTATAAGCAGTGCCCACAAAATTCTTTTTAAAAACTGGAAATGTACATATATAATCCATACCTAGCTTTAAGCCTCTGATATCTACTGAACTGTCTCCCACCAAACCTATAGGGGGAGCTCTACATATAGCCTCTGGAGTCGGGAGAAAAAAGAATGCTAGCTCCTGTTAGCTCGCAGCTGTAAGAGCTTATATTGAAAGATGGGGCTTCGTCGGATCTTTATTTTAGCTCTGCAGGACTAGTGTCTCTTCATTGGTTTGGCAGCTTTAATGAGGCCAATAAATGTTAAAATTTCTGAATTTCAGTAGCCTGATAAACCACATTAAATGTGAGATTAAATGTGTAATTTAGTCTTGCCCCTATGAATGAGACATCGGAAGATTGTTGATGAGAACAACTGGTTGTCTTTTAAACCATGTCTGTGCCTATTGAACAATGAGCGCAACTGAGTGTGACGTAGTAAGTGCGACAGAAAGATGGTGGGGGAATGTAAACAAACAGCCTATCGATAAAACAGCAAATAAGTCCCTCTAAAAAATTAATGAATGTAGAGCCTCTTCCTGCTCACGTTTCAACAAAACCCCCAGATTTTTGTTGTAACGTGAGCCAAAACCTTGCCTCAAATGATCTAAAAACGTACTTTTATTGAACAACAGCAACAGAAAAGAGAACTTTTAACTTTCAATGGAGCGCTCCATTGAAAGCTGCTGCATGCTACTGTTCAATAGTTGTTGCCATCTTCCTTCTTGTTTTTTCTCCAGCGTCGTGCAGCTTTGTCGTCACGCCCTAAAAACCCCGCCCACATTGCATCCAGACATTCAGAACACATCTCTGCATTGTGATTGGCCTGCCAGTTCTAGGGCGTGGCGCATTGATCGAGGCTAGACCACTCGCAGGCAAAAATGATTTTGGCCGCTAGCATGTGGGGCTAGTTTACTAGGCTATGAATTTGGGACATTTTTTCTCTGTCTTGCCTGCTGCTAGCATATTCTGGTGCTAAATGAAAGTTAGCCCCTTATTCTTTCATTTCCAACTCTGACTTCCCCCTCTGGCAGTTAGGAAAAATCCACAGAAAAGGCCCACGTTCTTATAAGCCACATGGTTCAAAGCGTGGGAAAAAAGTAGCTGCTTATAGTCCAGAAAATATGGTAATTCTGTCAATGTCTCTTTTCTGAGGTTCATTACAAACGGCAAAATGCCAACTCAGCATTTATATTTATCGGTGCATGGTATGGTTTGGCTGCTCGAAAGCATTCCCATTGGTTAACCTTTATCTACAGGGCATTACTTGGACTGCTTCTGGCCTATGTATAATATGTAATCCTACTGAGAATGATCAATTTGTATACCTTTTGCTTGCACAATATGCTGCTTCTTTCTGTCCATTGTACATAATTGGACAAGAAAACTTTTGTTCACTCCGTGAAAAACTTTTGCATTAAACAAACCTTTTAAACTAAATCATTGAGTGCTTTTACTTTCCAACTAAAAGTTCTCGATTCTTTAACATATACCTGTTTTAACTTGTTTTGTTTTTTTTTACTTTCAACTTTATAAGTCTGTGCTTTATTTACTGCCGCTTCTTGGCTATAACACCCTTGAAAAAAAGTTTTTTTTTTAATCTCGATAATATTATCCTGGTTAAACAAAGGCTATGTTTAAAACAAAAGATGAACATTGGAAAAGCAGCACATATCCACTATTAAAGTAGTATAGGATCTGAAATGCTGAGGGTCCTTTATTGTTTTCAAGATACCTTCTTTAAGGCATGCCTTCATAAAGTGAACAAATTACCAGGAAATTATAAATTGAAATATAACAGAATGTGCCAGCAAACTGAAAGTGTTCTTGCTGGGTCTTTCAGCAGGATATTGATCCGGTAATGATCAATATTTTATTTTGCTGCCACACAGTGAGCCAGATGACAAAAGGTATGAAATTGCCCAAAGCACAATAATAGAAATCTGCAGCAATTTATTTTCTGTGTGAAAAGAAATTGCTGCTTTACAGGTTGAAACAATTTGAGATCCCTAGGAGACAAGTCCTGCTTATCCAATTATTAGTGATTATATGACTTATGGTAAACTGAAGCAAAAAAGCAGAGTAGATTACCATTTGTTTTTTCTATTAACAAAGAATACAAAACTGATTTTTTTTTTAACATTACACTGAATTGAACATAAGGTAATAAATATAATTTTGTTGCTAAAATATGCAGTAATATGACACCAAATTAGCTTTTTGCCATAAATGTTTGATTAACAAATGTTTTATTCATTAAATTTGTTTTGGTCTCAGAAGTAAAAACAGATTACCGGTACCTTTGTTTAATATTAGAAACAAAGACTTTATTACCTTTTAGTATGAGTGAAGTCAAACAGACATTTTTCTTTATTTTTTTTTTGCATTCACCCACATTTGTTGCATTTAAATACAATAATTACAATAGCAGTTTGACGAGTTTATAAAACTGAAAAAGTTTGTTGCAGTACACCTTGTTGCTTACAAGATGGCAGTCAAGGCTCCGTTTAGGGTCAAATTGACAGCCAGTGTGGTGCCCCAACTTGATAGGGAAAATTGACAATAAATGAATAAACTTTGTGGATTATTTGTTAAAAGGGCACCAATGCTACAAATATTGTAATAAATCATCTTTGTTTTCTTTTAAAAATACCTCAAAACAAAATAAAGGAAAAGCAATCAATCAAATACAAGTTAAGAATTTAATTCCTAAAACAGATTTTACAGAGCTTTGGGTTACAGTAAACTAAGCTACCACCTCAATCCACCTCACCCTACAACCTCATCACTACCATAAAAAATGGTGGTGGCTGTGTCATGGTTTGGATGGATTTTTTTTCTAGCTGAGACAAAAAGAACAGTCCTAAAATGCATCACACTAATATAGTGTAGTTTTAGCATTTATTCAAATGTGTGTCTCCTGAGGCAAAACTTAGAAGGGTGTCCGGTTAAAAAGAAAGGGAGGCATAGGTGCAGTTACCCTTGTTGCTCACAAGATGGTGGTTAGAGCTTGCCTTGAGTTGAAACACAGCAGCTTGAGTAATGGCTGACCTGAGCATAAACAAAAAACCCTAAGAAATGGTCAAACTCTTTAGACCATTTATCATGAGAGAGAAAATGCAAAACAATAATTAAAAAAAAAAACTCTTAATTCCTGGAAAATACATCCCAGACTTAGCAAATATGGGAACTTTTTTGTATACCTAACCCCACAAGTGTACTTTATCTTAAACTTCTTAGAGCTCTGGTTTTCCATCTCTGTACAAATAAGGCCACACATCTGCATATTTACTTGAAAACCCTGCCACACATACAAACACCCACACATCCAAGCATATACAACCATGTGCACAAACACAACGTGTGCAAACTAAAAGTGAGTTCTCGCAGACAGGAAATGATGTCAGTTCTTGTCTCCAAGGAGATGGAGGCAGTTGCTAAGATACTGTGACACTCGGATTTTTCACTCTATTTTCTCTCCTCTCTCTCTGTCACACACACATACACACACACACGGATGTCACCATGAATAAGTTGAATCTCTCTCTTGTATCTTTTTTATTCTCTTGGACATAAGTCAACCTAATGTTTTCAACTCTATAAATAGTCACAAAATAATAAAGAAAAAAATCACTTGGTTCATGATCCCAATTAGGGGGTTAGGGACATCAAATACAGCTTAAACTTTTTGCTTCTATGAGCATCTCTTACGAGAATTAGGCACAGATGTAGTCTTTGAAGTGCATGCAGTAATTTGGTCGCCCAGATTTAGATTGGGGGTGTAGCTGAGAGACTGATTGACTGATGGGTACCAGCTCCGTTCCAAAGCTTTTCCTCAGTGTGAGCAGCACCTCTCTGGTGCTATCAGCATGCCACATATGTCTTGTTTCTAGCATGTTGCTGCCAAATCCACATCAGCCTCCTCTTCTCCTCCCCTGTGGCTTCTTAACACAGCATTAAGAGTTTATAGGGTTTGGGTTGTAGTTGGAAAGCGTGCATCCATCCTATGGATTGTGGGATTAGCTACCTTCCCTATGTTTTCACTCCAAGACCCTTGCTGTACTGATGACACAGGCAATACAGCAATGAGTGTTTGTCCATTTAATGTGCACAAATGCATGCCCTTCTCCATTGCTCTTATCCACTGCTCCTATACACACACACACACACACAAGCATGCCATACATCCATAAGAGGGATATCAGATTCAATGTGCAATGACACAGAGAGGACACACAGTGGAAAGAGGGGAAGGAAGGGGAGCAGAGGCGCAGGGTGGGTTTGGCATGGAATCGTTTTAAATGGTGCGGAAGGCAAAAAGATATAGAGAAAAAGAAAACAAGTGACAGAAAAAGCGCTGATAGGCAGTTTGGACCAGAGGACTGGATGTAGGTGAAGATTTTTAACATGGCTGAGGGAAGAACGAGAAAAGAGGAGGGGGGGTAGGAGAAGAGGGAAAGGAGGAATATCCTCTGCACCACTGTGTGACTGGAAATTTAATAGAGGGGGAGAGATAGAGGGAGAACGAGAGAGAAAAGGAGTGAGAGGTAGATGGGAGAGAGAAAGAAGGAGCCAGCCAAGGGGGGAGGGGAGAGGAAGAGAGAGGCAAAAAGGCACAGAGACCTCATTGCTGTGCAGCTTTCAGCAAAAGCTAGTGGATGGAGGACAATGGTCGCTACCGCATTCACAGAGAGGGAGGGGGGGGGCATATAAAGGAGAGAGGGATGGAGAGGAGGAGAGAAAGTATATATCTGGGGGGTCTTTCTGAAGCATCAGTGGCCTTTTTGGTTCTTTGACCTTTAGTGCGTGCTAAGAAAGACCAAAAATGGGCACAAATTTATTTTTACTCACCAAGTTTTATGAAAAGCTATAAAAGGAAGCTTCTCTGCCTTTGAACTAAGACCTAAACCAAAGGCTGTCCACACATGTAGACACAAGCATGGCAAAGATCAACAGAGGGAGGCCACTAACTGTAGGAGTGGTATCTTGTTGATGGTCCTACTAATTAAAACATGCAGCGCACTGTTGGTGGCATCTGATAGATGCTCACAAAATGCTTACTATAGGAACATTTTCAAGACTGAACGTTGGGTTTTTTAGTCATGTACAAAGCTCAAAGCTGACCGACTTTTTCGCTTCTCAAGTCTGGATGCTGACAACAACTAAACGCATAGGCAGCTTTGTTTATTTACAGCATTAAATCTACTGTTGAAGCTTAGGGGCAAAAGTAGACATATGCAAAGTCTGCAGAAAACAGACAACATTAGTTAGCAAGATTTAATCTTAGCTGGCCATTACTAAATGCATGCCCTAGCACTGGGCATTCTTTATGAACATACACATATACACATACATACAACACAAACTTTTATATATTTTACTTTATTTTTTACTTTATTTTAGAGCAAGAGGAAGAAGTACAAAATCAACAAATGGTTTTAAAGTTAAAAAAATATGTTTTGAATACCTCAGTATTTAGCCTTTCTTAGCCAACACGTATATATTATCCTGTTGTGACAGCTGCAGTATTTCTCTGATAGCTTTGGGTATTTAAATAATTTAAATTTAAACCTTTGTTGCATAATAGTTTAAACTTATAATGGATGAATAGTTTGTTTGTGAACACATTGTTTTAAATTTTGCCACATATTCCCACTTCATTTTAGGTCCAATTGTAGTTGTGGCAATAATTTTGAGTGCTGGGGTCAAGATGGAGGATAAAGGGTTTGCTGTCTCCACTGTTTTGCAGCCTTAAACCCTAACCACCAGCTCTCTCTTTTCTGAAAAAAAGAATCCAAGTAACAAAGTACAAATACTTTGTTACCTTACTTAAGTAGAAATTCAGGCTATCTATACTTTACTGAAATAATTACTTTTTACACAACTTTTTACTTCTACTCCCTAAACTTTTTTGAAATAATCTCGTCTTTCTACTTCTTACATTTTAAAAAGTAGAGTCATTAGTCTTGTTTCATTTGATCTCCATTTTTGTGGCCTGTTTGTACTTAAAAAAAACAACAACAACAAAAAAACAAACAAAAATAATTTGTTTTATCTAGACAATTCATTTCTTTGTGGTTGGACCTGGTGAGGCACCAGCTTGCCGTTAGCCATGTACCAAAAAAAAAAAAAAAAAAAAAAAAAAAAGTTTTTAAGATGATGCAAAGTTAAATTTGATACTGTTGCCATTAGTACAAAGCTAAGAAAATTAAGCCTGAGGAAATTATTACCCAAAATTGTAGAAAATTATTCATTTACTTGAGTAAAAAGTTCATACTCTAATGTCTACAAATTTGTTTTTTAACAATAGGATTTCTACTTCTACTTGAGTAATAACCATTAATACTTTTGACAGCTCTGATTATATCCCTTTATTTATAAAGCACTCTTAAAATAACCAAGGTCATCAAATTGCTGTACATACAACTGAAAACAACAGCGAAATTGAAATATACAAGCGAAACACAGATAAGCTAAAACAGTAAAAAAAAAGTCAAATCAGTTAAAATGAAAAGTAATTGAAACAGAATATTTAAAAAAATATTCAGAAAGATGAATAGTTTTCCACCACACGCAGTAGCCCTAACCCTAACCCTAAGATATAAAACAGCAAGCAACGTAGTTAGAGACATGAATAAGTGATGATTTAACTGTTTTTCCTAGTTTTACGTCCATCCGCGGATCTGCTTTTTTTTTCTGTCTGCCAGCGCATGTTTTCCCTTTTTTGAGGAAAAACGTCCAAAGTGTACGAAATAGTGTGCATAACTTTTCGTACGATTTCATACGCACTGATAATGAGAATGTGTGGACGGTGGCTTAAAGTTTTGTTTTGGTCTTGGCTAATCAGAGCACTTTCTTCCATTTGTTTTCATTTCCTCTGAATGACTTGTGTCAAAATCTCAACATGAATCTTTGTGATTTTTTTGTCAACCACTAATTTCTTCATGCCATGTTTCCAAAAAGCTTGATTTCCACATGAAATCTGGCTTTTTGGAAGTTCTCTCTTTATAACTTAGAAAGAGACTGACCTGTCTGCTGTGTTCATTAGTTTTCATGATGCTACTTGTTCATTAATATTTCCTTAAGAACCCCTGAGGCCATCATAGAATAGCTAAATGTATACAGAGATTTAAAAAAATACATGTGATACCAGTAAACTCTGTACTGTCAGACTTTAAAAAGAAAATACAATTAAATTTCTCAAATTGCTAACAATTGAATCAAATTGATCTAACTTAATTAATTAAGTTTATAAGTTAAATCTTAAATGAATTGGACAAACTTAATCCAATTACTTGTTTCCAATCGAAGCATTAATTTAAGTTGCAGCAGCAATATCTTTCTAGAATGCAGAAGGAATTTATTTATTGTTTTTTTAAATTTTTTTATCAAGACTATCCGAGTAACGTTACTTCCTGGACTGCTGTCGTCCAATCAATTCTTTCTATTATTAACACCAAACAGCTTAAGCATTGCCACAGCATAATGCTGCCTCTCCCATGTTTCACTATTGTGATGGGAAGTTCAGGTTATATATTCTCATCACACATACATTCTGCATTATAGGCCTTCACAGAATTGCTTTATTTAGACTGAAATAAAGTACACAGTATTATGCAAACAATTTTTAGTCTCAAGTTAAGTTAGGTTGCACTGGATCTGTTATACAATGTTCGCAGTAAAGAGGAAGTAAAGAAATACGGGACTTTCAGGAAAAAAAATCCCAAACCAACAAGAAAAAACTTGTTTCCTTTCTTCTTTCCATCATAGTTTGAATAACATTGTGTAGATTTTTCACATTATTGAAATAAATACATTTTATTTTGTGGGGACAACTGGAACCAGAATCAAATTAAATCTGGTGATTTGCATATAATAAAAAAACTGAAAAAAAAAGAAAATCTTAAATTTAAATTTAATCTGCAGAAAAACACACTGACTCACATTGTCCAACTGATATTTCAGTGCTGCTGAGTCATATTGATAAATATGACTATACAGCTGCTCAGTATCCAGAGAGCTTATGTTGCAGCAGGGATGCGAGACAAAACCTGCATAGTTAAATAAAAATCTCATCATTCTAGCTGTATTACGCTTTGATTTATTCTCCAAGCTTCAGACGATCGCAGCTTCATTTCCCCACTCCAATTATGCCTTAGTGGGATTCACTCGGAAACATACGGAAAGTGCGTAAAGACCCGCGCGCTGGACGCAAACCGCTCTGCCCAGCGGCCAACGTCGCGTTCGCTGCGCTCCTCTCCAAGGATAAGACGCATCGATGCGCTCGTCCCCGACCTCGTTCCCCAAATGTGACAATTATAACATCATTTTCTTCATCGGCACGTAATCTGATCTTTTTTCCCTCTCTCTCTCTCCTTATTTTTTTTTATTTATTTATTTTTTTTACATCGCTCCCTCCCGCCTGTTCTACGCGTGTGTGTGGATTGTGTTCATCTTTAACCTGCCAGCACTGTAGCCCCCCTGCGTTGCGTTGGCGCTGCGGATCTGGCTTACAAGAACAAGAGCCAGCTCACAGCCGTGGAAACAAGCGAATCAATTTAGGGGAGAGACAAGGAGAGACAGATAGCGAGGTTGTGGAGGGGGGGAAAGGCACGATCGCAGAGGGGGCACGAAAGGGAGAGAGGGACGCAGACATTACGCCGCATGCAGACGCCGAATATTAAAGGTATGTACTGTTTTAAGATTTATTAATTTTTTTGGACACAGGTAGAAAAAAGACACTGATGCTCTGCGTAATTGTGCAGTTTTCTTGTTTATCTGTAACTATGCTTAAATTAGTCATCAGATTTGATAAATATCCGAAAGGTTAAAGATGCAATACATGTCTGGTAAATGATTAATAGCTTATGATTTTATCATATAATATAGCAACTCCATTTTAACATACCCTTATATAAGCCTAAAAACACGCGCACTGGGCCTGTTTTTCCTAAGAAAATAAAAGGAAAAACTAAACATACAAACAAACAAACAAAAAATAACAATGAATATGTATATAGTGGGTGCAGTCGTGTTGTCATTACGCGATGAGAGAATGGATGCAAGCCATTTTGTAATGCAGCATGTGCAGAATTAGGCCTATTCAGAATTTCAATTGCGTTCCCAGAGAAGGTGCGCCGTGTGGCGAGCGCAGCTGCATAGATGAATAAGGCCATTCTGTGCTATTGTAAGGAGATATCAAGCTGGCGGCTATAAGATGATGTGAAATTGCAGATTTGGATGGGAGCTGCAGGTAAAAACGGTTGAACTGATTCATTTTTGTTATTATTTTTGGTGATTATCTTTAAAATCTAAAAAAAAAAAACCCAACTTTCATAGTAGTCAGAAGACGACAGAAAAGGACATGTTGTTATTTAGATCTGGTTTTATAAGATGCTGGTGGAAATGCGCCCTTTCCTACCTCGATTCCCACGTCCTGAATCAATCTAGCGTTGTCATAGTTACAGTAGATGATGTTGGCCCTGCTGCACCTGTGCAGCTTTGTGCTCTTCCTCGTCATTAGTAAATACATGATGTATAAATACAGGTCTCAGGCTTTTTTGTTCTTGCCTTATAATGACAAAACATTTTCTTTCTTTGCAGACCCATAATGTGATTGGTTTTGTAGTAGTTGGTCAGCAGCTTGCAGCTAATTTGTCTTTCACGACCCTGTGCTTGTGCTCGGATCAAATCAAATAATCAATATTTACACGGTTGCAATCTGCTCTTGACGTTAAAAAACAGCTAAATCCAAGGAGGGGAATATATCTGGAGAAATAAGAAAGACGATTTCAATATGTCACAGTGAAGTAAGAGATTTAGAGAAGTTGGAGTGGTTTTCTAGATTGTTAAAAACAAATCAAACAAACAGCATCAATATATTGACTGTTCCTCTTAGGTTCTAAGAGGAAAATTTGAGGATGGTAGGTAAAATTAACAGGTATCCATATACAGTATCATTCTTTGTTGAAATATAATGTGTTCTTAAAAACACCCAAATGAATGGCCCTTTATAAGTATCAAGATTTTTTTTCTTATATATAAGAGGGTATAAAGCAGAGTTGGGTATTGTACCAGAATATTTAGTGGTGTACTTTAATAATTTTTTTACTCCAGTAAAAGTAGAAAGTAGTCATCCACCATCTTAGTGGGTAAAATGGCTACTAAAATACTGAGTAATTATTGGCTCTTAAAAAAGGATTTAATGTTTAAAATAATTTAATTAGACAGTATTATGTTCAAAATCAGGTATTTTAAAATTAATACAAATAGATAACACAATTACAAAGTTACAACTGCAGGCAGAATGAAAACGTTTCCAAACATAAACATCTAAAACTATTCTTAACACTAGGTATTCCATATATATAAGGAAAGCGTATAGAAGATAGGCTACAATATCTGCACTGTTTATTGTATTTTCACCTGATCTCAAATAAGTTAAGTTACTCTCATAAGAATATTCCTTAGATAAAAGTAAAAAGTATTGTAAAGTAGAAGTAGATTATTACAAAATTACATTATTTTCTAAAACTTAGTGTAAATGTTACCAGTTACTACACACTTTTGGTACAGAAAATGGATGAATGGATAGAATTACGCATAATTGCTTGGTTAGCCTCAAATTCCAAGTAAAACTAATCTATTTTCAGAATTACCTTTGTGTTCTCAGTTTCTATACAGTTTCTTAGAAACATTGCATCATTTCTAAAAATGTTGTCAATGACAATAACAATGCTAGGCCTGTAGGTAGCAATGTAACAAGGACACTATAAATACAACCAAAAGATGGGCTTAGATTTTGTGACTGAAGCTTGCACAATAGCTGACGGTTTAAGGATTTTAGTTGGTTGTGGGGTGAAGACAATAATTATTTACGAGAAAGTCAGACAGTTAAAACCCCTCACATGATATGCCATTTTTGGAAATGTGTAATATGCAGTTTCTACACCTTACCTATTAATAAAAAATAAATACATGCCCAAAACCTTATGGCTCAATAGCCAGCTACCTCCTTAATCTGTTTTTCAGCCCATTCACTGTTGGAAAAAGCACATTTTGTCTGCTGATAGAGCTGGTGTTCTGTTATTGGTTGAATGTAAAAAACACTTTATTATTTCACAATTCAATGTAATGCTACATCCATTCTCTGCATATGTTATTTGGTCAAAAAAGACGAGAATAACACTAAAATAAAAACAATTTAAGAGAGCTTTTTCCAATGATATTTTAAATGTAAATAGAAACGGAGGGGGTTACCAATGTGTTTGTCAAACAGAAGATGTGGGATGTGCTCACCATCTAAAAAAGGCCTATTTTTGTCACATTTTTTAGTGTTAGCTTTTAGAAAAACTGCTTTATCACTTCTTCGAATGATAATTTCAGTAATGACTCATCTTGACTTCAACCTCAGATTTCACAGAGATGCCAGATCTGCTTCCGCTTCTCTTATTGAAGGCCAAGGTTCAGACTGATCAGATTCAGAAGCACTCTTTGTCTTTATCCGTAGCTTTTGACCAGAATTGCTAGGAATCACAGATTAAAGCAGATATCTGGTCATTTAGACTAAACAGGTGCTGCTGGTTTGTTTTGCAAGCACACATCAAGCTTAGCTAAATGCAGTGGCGTCGAATAAGGCGACTGGACAGTAAAAACACAAGATGGTGAGTGAGCAGGTTGCCACAGCAACCATGTTCCTAGGGGTGAATGCATCGCTGCTGCACAGGAAAACAGATGCTGAGAACTGGCTATGTATGATACTGATGAAAGAACCCCAGTTTGATAAAGAAATTGGGAAAAAAAACTACACAAAGAGGTTGCTCTCAAACAGAATAGTGATGATCAAAATGAATGTCTGTTAAACACAGATGCCTTCTTGATTCTTTTTATTTTCCCCCGAGACGTTAAAGCCATGTGACCATTAAAGTTAAAGTGTCAAGCATGAGGTGTTTGAATAAACAATAAGCACTTTATCAATTCAATCATTGTGCCTCATGCAGCCCAGGGATGTCTAAACTTAGAGTTTATTGATTTCTGCATAAGTTTCTGTTTGAAAATATTTTTTTCATTCGTCTAACCACAAACGACAAGAGTACAAAGCACTTTTATAAACGCTTCTCTTTGAAATATTAAAAATTTTTTAAAGGTTGTTAACATAAATCTTTGTAGGACTTAAATATGGAATGCTGTACACAGCATGTGCATTGATATAAAATGGCAAGTATAAGTCATTATTACCCAATACCACTAATTAAAATCTGATACACAAACATGTGGTTTCTAGTTTTTCATACTATGCTAGGGCTCTATGATTGTCAGCCGCAGCACCCAGAAGAAGGAATAAAGGTGGTAACAACCACCATATTAATTTAGTGACCCACCTTGTATTGTATTCTATAAATTAAAATGACCATGTTTAATGAGTTATAGCTTTAATTTATAAGCTTTTTAAAAATAATACAAAATAACCTTTTCTTTCCTCTAATCATCAATCCTAAATTTTGCAACAGCTAAAAAAAACATTTTTAAACACAGGGGTCCCCATGTCCACTCCTTGAAATCGTGTAAGCTGCAACTTTGTGGTGCATCTTTTCTCCAACACATCTAAATAAATGGCTGAACTCTCGCATCATCGGCAGCAAATAACTGTGCATATTCCTGGTTGCAGGCCAGTCATCTGATTCAGGCGTGTTGGAAAAGTGATGCATCTAACAGTTGTAGGATAGTAGATCTCAAGGGCTGGAGATGTGCATCACTGTTCTGACATTACGAACCAACTGGTTTTTAGCAACATGGCAATAGGGCCTTGTTTACTTATTTGTTTTTGTTTGAGTAAGTCCAAAGGATCAAATAAAAATATATAAATATATTAGACCCAAATCTTTAGTTAGCCCTATCAATATGGTGAAATAAAACTTCTGAAATTCTCTGCCACACTTTTTTCCTTTGTTTAAGTATAACATATTTTTGGCAGAAGGATACAACATTTCAGGGTTTTGCTCATCTGTAGTTTATAATTACACCTGGTAATTCAATGACTAAACAATCACAAACCATGACCCCGGTGTTTGGCTCAACATCGAACAAGAACAAATCATTTGCCCTGTTAGCTACACTTGCATCAGGGACAATTCTTAATCAGACAAACCATATGACATAATCTGTATGGATTTAAGAAAAAAACTTGCATCTAGACAAATGTTAAATTGCTTGATCTGTGCATTCACTTCTTCTCTTTTTTGTCTGTGTGTTTCCTTCTTCCCACAGTGAAAAGCAAGAATTTCCACAGGGACGGGGCTTTCCCTTAGCTTTATAACTACTTTGGTAGCAAAATGCAGGACATATTTCAGTGAGACAATTAAAATACAAGTCTGATTCCTGAGAAAATATGAGCAAAGTGAACATCTCGAGTTTTTGAAGTGACTCCTCAACAGACAAACTCCGATAAGACCATGAATGTAAAGACAAGCACTTAATTGACACTTTTGGAGGTGACTAATCAATATTATAGTACTAGGGGTGGGTCATGACTCAGTTGCCATGCGTCTTGTCATGGTGACCAACCCCTGCACCCCTTCCCCCCTCCTCTGGTTGGTCCAGCTCCTGTTGTGGTTTCACCACCATGGACCCCAGCTGACAGAGGCTGCGCCACCATGTCCCAACCCCTGCTCGTGCTCCAATCAAGCGAGCCGGGTCATCTGTACAAGGAAGAGTTTGGACCAAATTCCAGACAACATTTCAGAAAACACAAGATACCTCAATCTACAAGAGAACTCAATTCAGGTAAAGATGGTTTGGGCTTCTAATGTTCTATTAAAAGGTGTTTTGATTATAATAATTCTGATGTTGCTACAATATGTCTTTTTTTCTTCTTTGTTTATACAAGGTGATCAAGTCTGACACATTCAAGCATCTGCGGCATCTGGAAATTCTCCAGCTTTCCAAGAACCACATTCGACAGATTGAGGTTGGAGCTTTCAATGGCCTCCCCAACCTGAACACATTGGAGCTTTTTGACAACCGTCTCACAGTGGTACCAACTCAAGCTTTTGAGTACCTTAGCAAACTAAGAGAACTATGGCTACGAAACAATCCCATTGAGACGCTGCCAGCCTTTGCTTTTAATAGAGTTCCCTCATTAAGGCGTCTGGATCTGGGGGAACTCAGGAAGTTGGATTTCATCTCAGAGGCTGCCTTCGAAGGTCTGGTTAATCTGCGCTTTTTGAATCTTGGCATGTGTGGCTTAAAGGACATCCCCAACCTTACCCCACTTGTACGTCTTGAGGAGTTGGAGCTATCAGGAAATCAGCTGGGAATTGTTCGTCCTGGGTCATTTCAGGGACTTGTGTCACTTCGAAAGCTTTGGTTAATGCACTCCAGATTATCTGTAATTGAACGCAATGCTTTTGACGACCTAAAGAACTTGGAGGAGCTCAACCTCTCCCACAATTCCCTGCATTCTTTGCCCCATGATCTCTTCACCCCTTTACACCAGTTGGAGAGAGTACATCTCAACCATAATCCTTGGGTTTGCAACTGTGATGTCCTGTGGCTCAGCTGGTGGCTAAAAGAAACAGTTCCAAGCAACACCACATGTTGTGCTCGTTGCCATGCCCCTCCAGGCTTGAAAGGAAAGTACATTGGAGAGCTGGATCAGACCCACTTTGTCTGCTATGCTCCAGTAATTGTGGAACCACCTACTGATCTGAATGTAACCGAGGGCATGGCTGCAGAGCTGAAATGTCGTACTGGAACCTCAATGACATCTGTGAACTGGTTCACCCCCAATGGTACTCTGATGACACATGGATCATATCGAGTTAGGATTTCAGTGCTTCATGATGGAACCTTAAACTTCACAAATGTGACCGTGCAGGACACTGGGCAGTACACCTGCATGGTAACCAACTCTGCTGGAAATACCACGGCAACTGCTGTACTCAATGTATCTGCTTCTGACCCTACTAATGGCTACAGTTATTTCACCACTGTCACAGTTGAATCAGTGGAGCCAAGAGAAGATGAGAACTCAGCAAGACAGTATGTAAACGAGACCTTTGTTGGCTCCCCTAAGCCTACTGGTCAACGAGGGGTAGACGGTCAGTCTGGCTTTACTATATCACCATCTCTGTCTTCACTGTCCTCACTGTCACCCAGATCTACTGAAAATGCGGTGACCGTGTCTCTAATGGATGTAACCAACATTCCAGGCCTGGATGATGTAATGAAAACAACCAAGATCATCATTGGTTGCTTTGTGGCCATTACTTTTATGGCAGCTGTAATGCTGGTGGTCTTCTACAAACTTCGCAAGCAGCACCAACTACACAAACATCATGGTCCAGCAAGAGCAATTGAGATTGTCAATGTAGAGGATGAAATTGGAGCTGGGCCTGGAAGTGGAATCTCTGGGGGTTCAACAATAAATTCTGGCACGAGTGCAGAAGGAACCTTAAGAATACATCACCCAGAAGTAGTCAACCTTCCAAATATTGGTCGCACAGATACCCTCAACCATTACTACAAAACACACCATTTCAACAACAACGTGATGGGTCTCAGTATCACAGACGGTATGGGACCAGGTGGAATCCTCAACAGTAAGAACCAGCATGGCCTAGACAACCCTATTTCCTGTACATCAGTCCCAATCTCTACATCAAATTTGCTCTCTACATCAGGCAATGGCACCAACACAATTCCCAGTTCTATGTCCCCACCACTGCCCATGTCTCTACCCATGCCGACTATGGGCTTACATGGATCAATCAAGGGTTTCATGGGCCAAAACCAGAATCCCCAAATGGAACCACTACTCTTCAAGGGGAGCTCCAAGGAAAATGTCCAAGAAACCCAGATCTAAAAAAAAAACAAGTGTGTGAAGAAAGGGTGAGCAAGCAGAACTCAAAAACAGGGAAGGAATTGATGTTGGGTTTACGTGTGGAATAATAAGACACTAGAGTGCATTGACCTTACACCAGGAGAAAGGATGGATTGACACGGCAATACACAAACACATAGACTTAACCCTAACAGTGTACTGAGCCAAGGATTACCACTATGGCCCAAGTGTGTTTGTAGAACCGATCATGGCCATGGAGATCAAGGAGTGACCATTGCTACAATGTAAATCTGTGCCAAAGCAAATGTTTTTTGCAGTTTCTACAAGCTGTATTCTCATAGGAAAAAAAAGAGACAAACTAGTCTGTCAGAGTAATTCGCTCCTCAAATTGTTGTTGGCCAGCAGAGATGAAAGTTACGCACAGCACTTACCACATCGCAGGATGGAGATGTTACAGAGTAAAATTCAAGAGACCTTTTCTTCCTCAAAAAAAAAAAGAAAAAGAAAATACATGAGCCACACTCTTAAGTGACTCAACAGACTCCCTAAAGATGAAAATTATGTAGGCATAATAGATGGACAAAAAGGTACAGTGCAGTACAAACTACTGTGAAAAATCCACAAATAATATAAATATATTTTCATCTAAATATGTATCATTGCAGACTCCAATGCACACATATTTTGGGATGGATGTATAAGCTGGTATAGTTTGTTTCTTCTTTGTGAATAATCAGGGGCGGTGACAGGTGGAGGTATGTTATGTTTTAAATTTGGCTACTTCTCAGAAACATAAGGGCTCAATTGCAACACTCATTGTGAATCTCTCAATTGGCTTTTGTGACCATTTAGGTTGTAGAACAGCAAATGCAGATCTCTGTTTGACAAACTTTCATATGTTGGTTCAGTAATAATCATCATTGCAAACCTTTTGTGTTTTGAGAGTGTATTATGTATTTTGTAAAAGCCGACTTCATGGTATTTAAAACGATACATTCTGATACGTAAATGCCAGTGTCAAATGTTGGCAAAATACTGTTTCACCAGTATAACAAATTTATCCAATGCAATTGCCTGTACTGGTAAAAATAAAGTATTGACATTGTGTTATTTGAATCTGATCATAGCTGGATAATTGCTTTCAGGCTGGAATTTAATACAACCTGTGTTCTCCTGCAGCAGAATGCTGCCAAAATGATGATTATACATCTTCAGCAGCATTTAAGAAAAGAGATTAAGCATTCATTTGAGGATGATTGGAGTGAGTGAAAATGTACAGTATATTAATAAATAATGTCTGGTTGTATGACTATTGTAAGATTCACATTTTTACAGTGTAACTTTCATATGTTAAATGGCATTTACCCTTCCTGCGTTTCAATAATGTATTCCTTTATTTTTGTTAGTTTGATATAATGTGTACAGTTGTCTAGCCATGTGTCATTAAGTGTGAAATAAATCAATCATATATTGGGTTGTGGCGGGTCAATATGGCAACCACGCGAGTAAGAAGCAGACATTATGCAGTCTCTCCTGTGCTAAACCTGGATTGAATGTATGGTTTTGTGGTTTAGCCATTAGTCACTCTGGTAATGATAGGGGCCATCTGTTTTGTAATGCTGTTCAAACAGGCTTTTACTCACTCTCCCATACATTGCTCACAGTCACCGCCGGTTCTGAAAAATACATGTTTTTATATAGGCAGTTAAGTCTGAAATTAGTCAGCTTGCTTCTCCCATGATTATTTTTTTTAGAGAAGTTGATCATTATGAATGAATGCAAGATTGAAGAAAAATATACTAATACAATAAATACTTACATTTTTAAACAGGAACTAAATGTCTGTTGCAATTGAGCTCAAACTGAACTGGTGACCATTCAATCCAGAGCTCCCTCATTAATTTTGTGGCTTTTTTGCACCCCTTTCTCAGATTTAGTGTTTTTAGCTAACAATGCCATTTCAGAAGCATAAGCTTACATTCTTTGTGTTATCTGGAAAAGAAACTTTACTAACTGTAACAGGAGTCGAAAGGTCACAGTAATGATGATGATGATTATGATGATGATATGCTAAAAATGGGACATTTGTATGTCTAGTATAAGTGATGGATTTCCTGCCATAGAAGTTATGGAAGCAACATCTTCAATGCCAATGTACTCTTTGCTCTAAAATATGTTTAAAATTCTGTGAATTCCCATGTGCTTCTGTGAAATAACTAATTGCTTATGTTAGACATTTATATTTTTGGCCTTACTTGTGGATATATAGGTGCAAAATCTGGACAAAAGCCTCTTTTTCCATACAGTTTAAAATGTTAAATTCATATGCGTTAAAAATAATATATTTAGTGTTTATTTCTGTTTCTTTTGATGATTATTACTAACAGTAAAATGAAAAAAAATTCTTAAAAAAGGTTAGAAATTGTTTATTAACAGTAACAAAGGATTTGGATGCTTAAACATTACATTCTGACAACCTTGTGACCTACAAATTCTTTGGAAAGACAACGTTTTTTTTTACACTTGTCCAGCAGATATTCACTGACAATTAGCATAAAGAGGGTATGCCAGACAAGATCATTGCTAAAGAAACCAGCTGCTTACACAGAACTGCATCCAAGGATATTAATGGAAAGTTGAGCGGAAGAGAAAAATAGAGCAGAATATGGTGTTCAAGCCTAATTAAAAACTGCAGCCTAGTCAGGATTGTGAAATAAGGTTTATTTAGGAGTTTGGAGTTTTGGCTTACAGTAAAGCATCATAGACACTTATCCAGGACATGGGTAACAGGGGTTGCATTTCTAGTGTTAAACATCCCTAAATCATTTTTTAAGAACATCTTAAGTAGATTTATCTGTTTTAATAACCGTGGTATTAGTAGCTATGTTTACATGGACAAAAATAATTGGATTGCCGGCCTGATGAGATCAGAAATGTTTCATTTTAACATGTTTGACTGATAATTGGAATCCAATTTGGTCTGTTTGAAAGAGAATTCATTTCGAAAGAGAGAAGGGGGTTTTTCCAGTCGCCATTCGATTGGCGTTGATGTACACACCTGTATGGATTTTTGGAGGAAAATAATCTCCACTGCGCATATCTGCAACATTAACGTTATGTTTTCTTTTTACTCCTAATCTTCACCACTGGCTCCTGGTCCTTGGTGGAGGAGATGGCACTAAATGTAATGAGGGGATGAACATGCCATCCTGCCCTCTAAACCTATAGCGAAGAGGTGTTAGGATAAGGTACCAATGAACCCCTAACTAAAATGACAACCAAAAACGAAAGAATGGAAAACAATAAGACAAAGGTCCATGATGGAAAAAAAACTACATAATCAGATATGACTGAAGAACCAAATAAACAAAGAGTTGCTAAAGTTGAGGATGAGCAGACAAGTGTAGGTTTGTTTACAAAACAGGCAGTCTCTATTTCTATTACTAAAGCATTTCTGGAAAAATTGGCCATTTCCCCAGAACCTTAAAAGGTCTAATTCGATCAAACGCTTCATGCATGTCATGATTTATTTATTTATTTACTGTCCATATAAACCAAGAGTTTCTGGTCAACCGACGATCATATTGGGAAAAGTTTATCCATTTAAACATAGCTATTTTGTTTGTTTGGGTGATAAACAAACACAATAGCTATCAATCCTATGAAGAATCTAGATTATTTTCTATATTGTCTAGATATAAGGATAGGAGACAATAGAGCCAATGGGCTGAAAGCCATTATTAAAGCAACCAGGGTCTCTTAAGACACTTTCCTACTGAAATGAGTGGGTTAACACTGGTTTTTCAAACACGGGTTGACCCATTAAACATTCCGCATATGGCCTCTTACTACTGGCAAACACTTACTTACTACTGGAAAGCAACATGCAAGGGAGCTATGGATTTGTTTTGCCTTATTTTGTTGGCTCTTTAGTCTATCCTAATTCACCTTTACAATGGTGTGAAATGTTTATCGAATGCAAGCAGAGTTTTTTTGTCTTGTTTTGTCAGACACGACTGGCGCGATGATGTGACATAAATTTGTTGCGCTCAATTTTATCACGTAAATTAGTGAGTTGCCCCAGGTCCGATGTTTGGGTCAGTGAGCTGTTCCCACCGCCACTAAAACCTGTTTGTTTGCAGGTTTAAACAGATTTTTCAGCCAGTGGTAAATAGATATTAGACACATGCTGATCTCAATGCCATGCTGCATTGATGCAGAAATGTATACCAAAGGAGCCCCAACAAAGTCCCTAAGTACAGATAGAGCAAATGTGTCGACATATTTTTTAACAGGCAGTTGAAATTTCTTTGTTTAACATCTAGTCTTCAACCTTATATCCCAATTTGTAAAAAGAAAAACACACACACACACACACACACAAAAAAAAACACTTTGTGGTTTTCACTAGCTCAAAGCTATAATACTAAACGTAACAGAGATAAATACTTAAAACATATCAAAATGAGTGCAACCCTGAATTTTACTTTAAAATCGATCACTGAAGTAAAGAAACTTTTCAGTGATATTCAAATTTATTGATAATCATCAATAATCGTGTAACTGTTATTAGGTGGGTAGAGTTCAAGTGTTCACCCAAAAAGACATAAAGATAATATAAAGGAAAGCCTGGACTCAACATATAGGGAGTCCATTTATGTGCTACATTTCATGATCCTATTGTTGGATTTAAGCGGGCATACCAAAGGCCTTCTTTTCGATTCTAATTTTTCTGGGTTACATTTTTCAATTAGATATTTAATTTAAATCCCTGAAACATCTGATAATAATATTGGTGAAGACTCTTAGTCATCTAGGTCATAGTTATTCCAAAAAAAGTAAAAAAAAAAAACAATCCAATGGACTTTGTTTCCTTTGTTTGTTTCCCATTGGTTCTAAAGAACCCAAAAACTGCCCATTCCCAAGGGGGAGAACCCGTTTGTCGGGTTAAATTTCTAGGCCAAAACAAGGCTTTGTTTTTCGAACTCAACACTTTTTATGACATAATGAATTGAAAAAGCTTCCTGGATGGGAAACTTTTTTCATCTGACAATAATGGTTCTCATTTTTCTTAACATTGGAAGAACTGCAGAACAACCTTCTTGTGCTGTATAAAGGAAGACCATTTATTCATATACTTGATATAGAGAAGAAGGGAGTTTGAACTATGTTAACAAAATACTGTATGACCCCATTCAATCAAGGACAAAGATCAAAAACCATGTAGACATGGATTTATTTTTTAGTTCTCCTGGATGTCCAAATGTCCTTAGGATAGACAAATATCTATTGAAGTATTAAGTACAAAAGGTATTATTGAAGTACAAAATGCCACTAGGTTTATATATATATATATATATATATATATATATATATATATATATATATATATATATATATATATATATATATATATATATATATATATATATATATATTTATTGCTATGTTATGGTACCCGTGATGATTGGGGCCCTCGGGGCAGTGACCCCCAAACTGGAGAAGTGGTTACAGCAGATGGAAATACAGACATCTCGGTCCAGAAGAGTGCAGTTCTAGGGACAGCAAAGATTCATTCCCTTGACTCAATGAATATATTCTACTTAAATATGACCAGGGATGTAAACTAATTCTAAATTCTGACCCCGATTGTCTGGTCATAGTTGATATATTGACACCATCATTGTCATCTATCTCCTATAATGGATGCTTTAGTTAGGATATTTTTTGGTCTGGTGAGAACAAAAACTTACTGAAATGGATTATTGTGCCTGAAACACCAAATTCCTGGAAAAGAAAATGCTCCAACCATTAGTGCATTTAAAGGTAAGCTGTTTTGTTTCATAAAATAATAAATTTATTGTGTTTTTTTATACATATCATAAAATGGGGCAGTGTTCTAACAAACACATGTAGAAACAGTTTCAGGTATTCAATTGCTTTGAAACTCTCAGCTGTTGCCTCTTCTCTTGTAGTAGCATCAGTTTGGGTCTTCATGGATTGTCATTAAATGTTTTCTGAAATCCCAGACTCATCCAGGTAAAAACATGTGTCTCACCTGTGTAAATCCTCCAGTCGGTCAAAATACAGAAATATTTTATCTATCACCTTGGCGACTGTCACACCTGCGACTGGCAGGCTAATTTTCTAGCTATTGCCTTGATTTTTTCTCCTAGCAAAATACGAAACCAGCTCACAAGGTCAAAAAGAAAATTAGTGTTCACATAAGTGACTGCTAAAATCGGTATAATGCAAAGTAATCATTTTAATGCCTTGTTTTATTTACATTTCATCACTGTATTACATTTTTGGAGAACCTATCCTTAGAAACACCCCTGCTCTATAAAGTAATGAGTATTAAAAACATGGTTAGAGAGAATTAAAAAAGCCACATGACATTATCAGGCTCTCAATCTGAAAATAAAACTCTAAAAGGGTGTCCTGATTATAAACATCTATATTAAAGTCATTTTATCAAATATCTTGAAAACATTGCTTTTTGGTTGGAATAGACATCATTCTATTAATCTTTGTTACCAGGACACAAATTAGCAGGGTGAGTCTTTAAGAGGGGTCAGAGTACACCCCTCCTCCTCATGTTGTTTTAACAAAATCAGAAAAAAACATCAATACATCCTGCACACAGTACGGTGTGACAGCTGCTTTAATGGATCAAATGGTCCGTCATGTTACATTAGCATAATTGCACAATAACCTGCACAGCTATTTTTATTAATCGTCTATGTTGTTATGTTGCAAATGTGCCAAATAGGTGATATACAGTGCAATCAGACAAACACACTCCCTCCTGCAGACACATATTTTCCATGGAAGACAGTGTAAAAGCAATCAAGCAATGGGACCGGCTTTCTCTGGCAAGCCATTACTTCTTCTTTTCTCTTAAAAGGTCGAAAGCTCATGTGATTTGCCTCACTGTGTCGCTCTCCTATATTCTATCATGCTCCATATTTTAACATATTTTAAAAAAACAGAAGGTGAGGACAAACTGCATGATCACTTTACAGGCTGCATTAAAAAACAACTTTAATGGATTTATGCAATAAGAATTGTATAGACCCTGGACCATACCCATGAATTTAATATGTTTGGTTAAAATATTCAGGGCCAACAGCTGGTAGATTGTTTTTTTCTTTTTCTTTTTAAATACCTGAGGGGAGTATGTGCA